AGGCAAAGATCTGACGACCAACATCTGGAGACTCTAAAGAGGCACAACACAACTCAAAAGTTGTTGGCTTCGACTAAGCGGAACCAAGCCACACTGATACAAGGACAAGAGCTTCTGGGGCGTCTGGCAGTCTGCCATTATCAGGAAACAAAACGAGCTTCAAAAGAAATAGCGATTGCTCACCAAGAGCATCTGATTGAGCATCAAAGGACCCGAGACGTACTATCGGCAAAGCTTGAGGACGTCATCGTCACCCAGTTCGAGAAGTACCGCATCTCTCGCGCTAGATCCGTGTCGACTAGAGATGTCTTCTTCTTTGGTGAACGTCGCGACATGATCATGGCTTATCTGCTCATTGTCAAACCCCATTTGGAAGTTGCGCTTGCCAATTTGTTCAACGACGGTATCAGCACCTTTCCACCACATTACATTTCCTGGCTACAGTCCGAGTACGAGAACCTCATAGCATCAGCAGCGCAGGAGGAAGCGACAAAGCACCCGCAGTCCACTGCAACCTCTCTGGACCGTTGGCATTACTCTGAAGAGACCAAATCGCGCCATCTGACGACACCTCGGCGTGTAATAGGGCAATCCAAAATCAGGTCTACTACACAAGAAGCGCATTACGCGAACCTCTACCTCAGCACACCAGCTATCGCTCACAAATCCTCATATACACATACTACTCCGTTCGGCAGTCTGCGTTTACAAACTTCTCGCAGAGCGTCCAGATCGAAGCTTCGACGTCCAGATGAGGAGGCTAGCTTCACTTTCACTTGCGGTATCGGGCGGTCACTCCACGCTATTCATGCCCACTTTCTTCGCAACGCTTCCGGTCCATCGAATCCAAGGCTCTGCGCCCAACTCAGTGTCTTTACCTTGGCTGAGTCCGAAACCCACTACAACCAGCTTTTCGCATCTGCTAGTGCTCACGAGATTGATGATGCACTACGACAAGGCGTGATTTCTCCGTATGAGATCAACCGAGAAGGAAGAAATCTATGTCTCTATGTAAATTGTACCCAAATATTCTGATGGAATGACTCAACGCTAACCCACAATGCGTAGTATGCTGCAGAGCACACACGGATAGACCTGTTCGATTACTTGGCAAGTCAAGGTATCGGCGTATCAAACCTGAAGTGAGTCGTCTCTACCATCCTGTAACAACCTTTTCCTAACGTAAAAAAGCCACGATGTTAGCCTAGTCGCAGGTCTCTTCATGCGCTCGATAGTCGATCATGATCGAGTCGCATTCGAGAGAACCGTTGATCACATCATTCCTCAGGTCTACGAGTCGTCCTCGTTTCTTTTCGAGACAACAATGAATATGCTGCTTTGGGACTACTATAAAGGCAGATCGCGTTCTCTATTGGGTGAACAGATACAAAGATTGCAGCAAGAGGGTCTCATATCGGAATCAGTGATTCTCAATGATGACCCGTGGGACTGGCCTTCTGTAGCAGGTATCATTGCACCACTCTTCGAAATTGATGCTGCATACATCAACACGATGGGTAGTCTTGGCCGCAACAGAATCCAGCGTTGTTATTGCGTTATCGATCATGAAGGCAGTCCAGGAGACCCAATGGCTATCGAAGAAATCGCCAACGCGCTGATAAGAGCGGGTATCGATGTACACCATCGCGATCATGATGGTCTGACGCCGAGTATGTACGCTAAACGCTGTGGCGCATGGGATGGATGGTGCAGTGCGCTTGCGAGGAACGGATTGCGCATTGAAGACGTGGTGCGAGAAGAAAAGGCGGAATGGCTTTTAGAAGAAGGATGGAGAGAACATTGGGTGGAAAGGTATGAAGAGATATGGAAGCCAGTTGATCATGGGTCTGTGCTGGCGCAGAAGACGGAGGACGGAGAATAGAAGCCATGATGTCATCACTTTTCCTCGCTCACAACTAGTTGTTGAATCATCCCCGATGCTCAATCCATCATCATCTGTCTCGATTGCATCTCTCGAATATGACAAAGTCCTGCACTCTCTGTTCAAAACCCCGTGACGTCCTTGTGCGCTGTCAGATCGACGAGTCGCAGAAATGGCATTTCGTCTGCCCTGGAACATGCTGGAAATCAGTTTCTGGTGGCGTTGAAGATGCAAAGGGCATGCAAGAGGAATACCCATATTACCGATATGGCGGTATGGTGAGTTTTTGCAAATGATTTGAGAGAAGGAAAGATGGCTGATCTGGAGTCGTGGGTAGTGGAAAGATAGAAGTGCCGACGGGCCGGTTAGCGCAAAGAAGCCGAAGAAAGTCAAGGAGAGGCAGAAAGAGGAGATGAAGGCGAGGGAGGGAAGCACTGCGATGTCTTCCGGGATAGAGAAGTAAGACTAAGGAGGGGTAGGTAAAATTCCCGTTGTTTCATCATTAGAAATGATCTCGAGGAGAAAGGCAAAGTGCTAACGATGAAAGGTAGAGTGACGGCTTATACAATATCCATATCAAGCTTATATGGCATATCGGAACTTCCTGTTGTGGAAGTCTGTAGTATCCTCGATGGCATCCGCGTCGTTTAGATCATCGTCTTGGCTATGCGAACCCTCAGCTTCTTCGCGGTCGCGTTGAGCGTTCCTCCGTGCGAGTAAGGCTCGTAAGCAAAGTGCTAGCACGACCTGAGAGACAGCGCATCCCAGAAACATCTTCACGCCTGTCTCGTATTTGGGAGCTTCTTCAGCCAAGAAGGCCTGAGGGCCTAAAGTGGTTGGTCTTAGTAATGATGGTCTTGAGATGGGCCAGAAATGCAGGAGAGCTTACCAATAATGTTACCAACACAGTATCCCAGAAAGACGAAGGCTGTGCTTGTGGTTCGCTTTGTGTATCCACCTACATTTGATGCAGGTAGCTGCAGAGCAATGACTAGAGAGCCAACAAACGAACCGGTCTACTTCCGTTAGCTACTGATTAGAAAGGCTGCTGCGTGTTCACGACATACCAAGTAATATCCCGCCAAGCATCCAGCCGTGTTGGAGCGCGGTAGCTGCCATATTAAACACGTGCCTATTATTGTGGGACAAAGGTAAAGAGCCATGATGAAGGTGCGCGCGTTGGGAAGTCGTGAAGCGAGGAAAGGACCTGTGAAAACCCAGAACACCTGGGCGAAGCCCTGTGGAATCCCGTATAGCGTCGTTTTGAGTGGATCACCTCCTGCTACGTCCTTGACGATGAGTTTGCCGAAGTTTGCATTACCGCCGTTGATCATTTCATTGCATAAGACGAAGAAGAAGAGTATCCAGATCTGAGGGTCAATCAGGGCCTCCAAGACCTGCGGTAGTTTGATCTTTCTGTTGTAAACTCCAGTACGGTTGCTGGCGGCACGGGCGATCAAAAGAGCTTTCTCTTCTGTAGTAAAGCTTTTGGCTGTCATGATGTTGTTCGGCAGTCTGAAGAAGAGAAGTATGGACCAAAGAACGGTCATACCTCCACATATAATGTATATGATCTTCCAGACGACGAAGGTCTTTGCGTATCCACAGCCGTAGAAGAGTATACCACCAACGGCGCTACCGATGCCATTAAAGCAGTAGAACATACCTGCTCTTGCAGGCTGCTGCTTCCCGACGTACCACATTCCAACCATCTGCAAAGGCGAAGGTGTAAAGTCAGTGTATGTGTCATATGTCTGCTATGTAATCAAGACCTACCATCATGAAAGCCGGGGTGACGACACTCTCGAAGACACCAAGGAGGAATCGCATGGCAGCAAAGCCCGCAAAGTTGTGCGTAGCGGCTGTAAGTAACATAACTGAGCCCCAACAGAAGCAGTAAATTGACACGACTCGACCAGTCGGGAAGTGCTGCGCAAGGTATGCTGATGGCCATTCTGCGAACAAGTAGGCGAAGTAGAAGATTGATGCCAGCCAGGAATACTGATCGCCGGTGATACCAGTGGTTTCGAAAAGATCGAATACGGCAGAGTAGCTGATCGCTTGCTTGTCGATGTATTGGAGGAAATACGTTCCGCATAGCAGTGGTAGCAATAGCAAATCGACTTTCCTGGAGACCTTCTTGTTCGCATTTTGGTCTTCGAGGAGCTCGGCAATGTACTGGGGAGTGATATTGTGTTGCCGCAGAAATAGGTTCGCTTCGTCCAGGTCTTCGACTTCGCCCACCATGGCGCTTTCTTCCTTCTTGAGAGAGTTGCCATCCATATTGTCCAGCTGGATCTCTAAGTCTTTCGACATGGCCACTGCTTTGTCGTCGCCCTTGAGGGCGTTCAGTTCAGGTTGCATGGTGAAGAACGAACATGGACTGGCGACGCACTCCCAATATCTCTGAGGCTCGACCATACATATACTTAATCTTGCCCATAGACTTTACCCCAACTTTGAAAGCCGCTTTGTCTGACGACGTACCCCGCGCTATGGGATTCCGATTGCGCATGGGCAGAACCTATGCGGGTCTCGATAAGAGGACATTCGATGACAGGTATCGACTATCCAATCATGTTGCTCGGAAGAAGCTTCCATACTTTATTCCTATCTTGTTATCAGGCGGAGCAGTGCTTCCGTACAAGCTGGAAACCCGCACCCTGGGTTAGGAATCGAAGTTGTGGGTCGCTGCCCCGGTCAACATTAGTAGTATGCAACAGTATGAGAACGTTACAGCAACTGTAGCGATGCGACGTCGGTAGTGATAAGAACGCCACATACTTGCAGATGGGAGATACAATTAGTGTCTTGTGATATCCAGGGTCAGAACTTTTAGTGAGCGCTAGCCGCCGTTAGCCTTCCTTTAGCGTCTCGGTAATACTTCGGCTGGATGTTGTTGCTGTCGGCATATCTCTGTCCTTGTATCTATCTATTTCCCGATCTATCGATTGTACGAGAGCTCCGAGGACGGCATCTCTCAAGCCAATGCAAATCGTACAATGTGCGATATGTCACCAAGATTAGATAGTTACCTGCTGCAATCCTTCTCAGATAGTTGATTTGATGACAGATATCCTTTTCGGTACCTAATTCTACATCCGATACTGTTTTGACCATGTCTAGAAAGACAATATACACGGAAGACGCGCCAGCCGCCCCACTCAACGCTTCACAGGCGGTAGTATGCAACGGTATGGTTCATTGCTCTGGTAGCCTTGCGCTCGAGGGGAAAACGATGCAGATCATCCCGGGAGGTATACAAGCAGAGACAGTAAATATATGTACCATGAAGAGGTCAACACCGGCTAATTATATTGCTTCAGCATCGGGTACTTGAAAACCTGTCCACCATACTCAAAGCAGCTGGTAGTAGCCTTGCTAGCGTTATCAAACTTAACATCTTTATCACCTCCATGGACGACTTCAAGGCCATGAATGAAGTATATGATAAGTTCTTCTCCAAATTCGATCAGAAACCGGTAGGTCACTTACGTGGCGGTGTGGCAAGTAATCGTTTTGACATTGCATCGTAGTGCCGGACGTGCATACCGGTTCCGCAGCTGGCTCTCGGTGCCAAAGTCGAGATGGATTGTGTCGCAGTTTTGGAGATGCCAATTGCGAGACTGTAAGCGTGACCGGGGTGTAGGTGCGGTTCTCTTTGGTCGTGATGGTTCGGAAGATGTAGCTGTTGGGAACGTGCAGGAGCTGGGAGGGTGCGGCCGACGCCTTGCCTGATTGAGTGACGCAATCTTATCGATAACGAACTGGAAGCATGAATCCTCCAAGAAATCACTTAATTCAGGCCTGCGCAATACAGTTAACGAAGGTCAGCATTCATGAGCCTCGCGAATGGTAGGACCCGATCGTGGATACCGGAAGCTTTGGGTTATCCGGCGGAGAACTTGCGGTGCGGGCTTGGCGTCGAACATGCACCTTTGACCCGTCGACTACTTAAGGCTTAGCGAGGCCAATAACCGCTTGTGCACCTCGAGACAATAGCCCGTCGTTCATTGAACCTTGCAAACAAGTCCCGGTAATCGTTGGCGCACCTACGTGACGTTTGTACAACGACAGCTACACAATGCCTAATATCATCGTTATTGGGTAAGCTCGTTCCATCGTGCAGCAGACGTCGTCTTTCTACAGCTAACACATCTTGTGGTGAAGAGCAGGAGTCTCCGGGCTGACATCAGCGTATCTCCTATCCAAGGATCAAAGCAATAAGATCGCTGTTGTAGCAAAGCATATGCCAGGCGACCACGACATTGAATATGCATCACCATGGGCTGGCGCAAACTTCATGCCGTAAGCTTGCACACAAAAGCTACAAGCTACAAAATCAGCTGACGCATAGCGGGAAGGATGTCCTCATCATCAGATAGTCAATATGAACGCAAAACATGGCCCCAACTCAAGCGGTTAGCGACAGATGTACCAGAAGCAGGCATCCATCTTCAGAGTCAGTAATCTCTTCTACCGTTACATATCACGGTCCATGGCTAACAAATTAGAATGTCGAATCTATCGCCGACGAAAAGACATGGATAAGCTAAGAAGTAGTGGCGGCACAACTTTTAGCAACGTGTTTGCTGAGAACCCCTGGTGGCGCGAACTGGTGGACGACTACCGAGATCTCCCTATCTCCGAGATGCCATCAGGAATGGCATCAGGCTGTGAATTCGGCTCTGTATGCATCAACCCGGCGCTTTATCTCCCATGGCTAGTGGGCCAATGTCGCGCAAACGGAGTGGTGTTTCATCGAAAAGTTTTAACACATGTATCTGAATTACGATCCATTGGTGTTGATGGTTTCAGTCCCGATATCGTTGTCAATGCGACAGGACTATCATCTGCCAAGCTAGGAGGTGTCGAGGATAAAAGTTGTTACCCCATCCGCGGGCAAGTGGTCGTAGTGAGAAACGTGGCCCCAGCGATGATATGCGTTTCTGGAACGGATGACGGCGACGATCAGGCATGTTATATGATGACACGAGCTGTTGGTGGAGGAACAATCCTAGGAGGCACGATGCAGAATGGAAACTGGGAGAGCCAACCGGATCTCAACACCGCCAGTCGCATCATGAAGAGAGCTGTGAGTATGTCCCCTGAGCTGACAGATGGCCAAGGGCCGGAACATCTTGATGTTATTAGACATGGCGTTGGGTTAAGACCTGGAAGGGAATCTGGCGTCAGAATCGAGAGGGAGAAAATGGATGGAATCTGGGTCATACACAATTATGGACACGCTGGGTGGGGCTATCAGGGGTCGTACGGATGCGCTGAGAAGGTTGTTGCTCTGGTTAACGAGATCGTGCCGCAAGCTAAACTATGAATGTGAGTAACAGTGGAAGAAGAATATGAATGGTTCAACTCGATGTCCAGAATAGAACATGGAGGGCTCTCGATACACATGTGTGAACCCCTGGTACACTTAGAGAACTACTGCTGAGACAGCTCAACCTTGGACCACCAAAAATCACTTTCCTCTTTCGCATAAGTGTCACTAACCATGATAGCCGGCTCGCCGATAGTCTCTCCACCAATCAACTCCGTATTGTCTCTTCCAAAGATCATCACCTTCGGATCTGATCTATTGTAAGGCTTCCATTCCGTTCTGTTGGCATACGAGCCGCCAAGCGCATTTGGGGTGCCGGTACAAACGAAGCTAGTGACGTAGGCATGCAGAGTACCCGACAACTCGTCCTGGCTCTTAGACTTCGCGATGAATGAAGGATCTCTTACTTCATAGAACATGTTGTCTGCGTGACGAGCTCCATAGACGATATCCCGCTTCATTGCCCAGTGGTATAGATATACGGGGGTATCCTGGCTAGCATAGAAAGCCGTTTGACGGACTGGGGCCACGTATGCATAGTGTGCATAAGCCGCTTCGATACGCTTATACATTGGGCCAACACCGTGCTCGAGTCGTGTCTCTTTATAGATGGATTCGGGTACCTCTGTCGGATCAGGATACAAACGGTTTATCGTTTGAATATCATCTTCGCTCATCTGCGGCAGCAATGTCTTCCAGAAACCCAGAAAATCTGCAGAGGTCGACATGTTTTTGTTCACATACAGTGAGCCTTCGTTGCCTTGAAATCCGGTCATGATTGGCATTTTGTGCCATTTCCCTGTTCGCCAGGCGTCAATTGGACGGCGGCGAATGATTTCGTTATCAATCACTGGCTGGAACGCCCAACGTAGACTGGGGTTATACTTTTGGAAGACCTTAGTTTGGGCTTTAGCGATTGCGGAAGTCGGAAGTTTACGGAGGTAGGTAAATATCTCTGACTCGGGTAGTGATGATGGACATTCAACTTCCTTCAAGAAGTCGGCAAATTGCATCTCGTGGATTTCTGCGTCTGGCTTACGGACGGCGCGGGACGTTGGAGCTCCAGATTCTATGACAACACGGTGAAACTTAGGCTTTTTGCCCTCTTGGTAATTCAAGAGGTGGTGTCCTATCTCGAGAAATGTCAGTCAGGCTGATCAGAAAGAACACAGGCTTGTACTCACAGAATGTGCGCCGGCTGAAAGTCCTATGAGCGTTACGTTGTTCCTATCACCCCCAAAGTGCTGGATGTTCTCTTCAACCCAATCCAGCAAGCACATCTGATCCTTCAGACCTAAGTTGAGCGCGCCTTCTGCGGCGCTCAGCTTTGATGGTAGAAAGCCTAGGGCTCCTATACGATAGCCGAATGACACTGCAACAAACGGAAGTTCAGACCATCCCACCATGGATGCAGTGTCATGCATTGCGGCATTTCCCCGATTGAAAGCCCCTCCATGAAGATACACTGCCACTGGCAGGGCGTTTGATCCATTGTGTTCAGCTTGTCGGAAGATGTTAACAGTAAGGCAGTCTTCACTCTCCTCGAGCGTCGGTCCAAGCACGATGAACTGCTGTGCTGGCGCTCTTGGACCGAAGTTTGAGGCATCGATAGTCTCCTGACTTGGTGCCACTTTCTCTGGTGGTCGGAAGCGGCGTTCACCTGTTGGTGGTAATGCATAAGGAACGCCCTTGAAGGCTTCAACCGCACGAGGGTAGTCGCCGCGTAAGGTGGTGCCTACAACAGTACCTTGAGGGATTCGCACTTCAGGTCTAGACATCGCTTTAGATGTGTTTTTGTTCCTGTCAATCTGTTAATATGTGGCACATTCATACAGCTTACACTCAATCTTGCGACGTACCTTCGAAACTTGGAGAAAGCTTTCAAAGACTAAGTGTATGCAGTACGTTTTCTTGATGAGATCTTGTTCATGTAATGCCGACATAATACCAATATACCGATGTTCTTAGATAGCCGTTGGAGTACTGCCCGGCATCGGCAATTGCCCCGCTATTGTTGCCTCACCTAACTTTACGGCTATCAACTCCCCAACTCGCTATTACACGGCTTGCAGCGAATTCCCGTCGGCGCACACTCGTTGCATGGGTTATCCGTCGGATCTTTTCCGTTAGCTCGAGATGGCGCATCAAGCGGCTCTGGATTGATAAGGTCTTATTGACACATTGCCTACATCCTGTTCGGCAAGCACTAACCCAGACGTCGGTAGTACGTCGGCTCGTCCTCCAAGACCTTATCAGTGCCAAACGTAAGAACAGGAAAGGATGCTACATCCCACTATTGTAACAATTGCTTCTCAACCTCAGACTATCAGGATCGTACGGATCGAACACGCCCCACCAGCTCGAGACATGCTGCAGGGAGGGTCCGTCGAAGAGCTGTCGCAAGCCACTTGCAGCCTGTTTGCTGTAAATCTGCTACCTGGCTAGGTCATAAATCTGAGAACATTGTAGGAACAGGCAATGCGCGGGGGAAAGGATCCTCTTGCCAAGTTCTGGCGAATTATGAGATGGTAGACGTGGCTGCAGCAACATGCTTGTACGACGATGGCTTCAGATGTAAGACTTATGGCGATGGTGTTTGAGTGGACCTCAGGAGCGACAGCAAGAACTTCCGACGTGCACGTGCTGTCTTTGACCTCAAGCCACTTGCTTGGCTGTTGCCGTCCACTCGAATGCCAAATCGCGTCGCGACCCGCGTCTGCATTCCCAACCTCCCACACCTACAATGCATATTTACTATGGAACTCGTCCTCTCTTATTTCTCGCAACAATTCTCTAACTCTTCCGCTTGTACGATAAGCTATGATCGGGCCAGATGCTATCTACTCAGTGTCCTTGCACGGTCAAGCCGCGCCGACATCCTGCTCGATGTGTATATCAGACACGTCAGTTCCTCTGGCCTTGTTCTACGACACGATAAGACGGACTGGCCTATGTTGACACGATATTCTCAGATCAGTTGTCTACTTACAGGGGCAGGTATCAGCACGTATGCGTACAACTCGAGGTTTCCCATGCTAAACCATGCTCTAGCAAAGATGGCTGTACATGTGCTCGAGACCAGATTCTCAAGTTACCTAGGTATTATGGTGGTCCTCTCTCTATAAACAACATCATAATACCTGAGAGTTCTCCAGAACTGGTATCGTTTTGATCCATCCACGCGCATATGCGAGGAGTCGAGACTCAGTTAGAGTCAACCCACTCATTATCTACTCGAGCACATTGCTATCCGAGGAGCTTTTTATTCTGGCTTGAATAAGAACACTTCTACTACTGGTGATGAACCCATCGCCGAGTCTTTGTCTCTTGCTATCGTACATCGTAGAGGGTTGATCTGTACCATCAGTGGATTGTGAAAGCACATACGCTTTGTCGTTTTCTGGTTTGCTTACTGCATCCAGTATAAATTAGTTTGGTACACGTAAGAGCAGACCATGCGCAGAATGGGACCGTCTACCTGCCGGGCCAAAACGAATGCTTGACTTTCAACAGTCCTATTCAAATGCTCGACCACAAATCAGATCTACACTACCATCTTAAGCCTTGAACTCCGAGACGCAAACCTCGACTGAAGCTCAATTTGACTTCGAATGCACGAAATGCTAAGCCTAAGTAACATCTACATTCGAAACAGGTCGCTATCTTGACGTAAGAAGTCACATTATGATGACTCTTCAAGATCTGCTTGGCTTCGCGCAAGCTCAATGAAATCGCAACAGAAACCCTCTACGAACACTTTCAGACCGGGTGGATAATTTACGTATCAAACTAATTCATTTGCACTCTTCTGGATCGCCCTGAGCTTGCGAGCCACGTTCGCAGTGTCCATCATGACGTCGGGGACGACGATCTTCCCAGCGTAGAATCGACAGATGAAGACGACCCCAGGTCATATCCAAATGTGAGAGAGCGAAAGTATGAATGCTCGACAGAGCTAATCGTACGATGCTCCCCAACGATTATGCGCATGGTAGCCCTTGTTGGTGTCACGGATCGTGTCATACTAGAGCTTTTAGCTGGTGTCGAGGGTAGTCATCACGTAGTTAGAATTACTCGGCTACTTGTGTTACAGATGCTGGCTTCCTCACTATATTCGGCAACACAATTGGACACCTCGTAATTTTATCTAAGAACGACAGCTCTATGAGGCGATTGCAGAAGCGTAAGTTTTGCGTACCTTTTGTCACATTCGCTCTGGAAATGACAACAACTTGGTCAACTCCCCTCACAGAAGGAAATCATCGCTTACACAATACGTCTGTAATTGAAAGGGCGGTGAGCATTTCGTGCGGCATAGTATCCGTTGGATAGTCTTGGCTGCCTGGTTCCAGGAAACTGTCTGATCTATAGCTGGAGAAATGCTTCCGATCGTGGCTTAGAAGTACGCATGTTGGTCTAGCATCTTAGTCAATAACCCTACATCGAAGAAACAAAATTCTGTGCCAGTCTATGATTCGGTGGGCAATCAGCAACCGTTGACAATGCGTGAGCCATAGTGACCACAACCCGGCGAGCTCTAGTCAAACAATACCTGTTCTGTACCAGACTCAACGTTGATCCATGCCTCTTTTTTTTTGCGTGTGTCTTGTCTTGTGGATTATTAGCGTAGCGTGAAATAGCATCGTCGAAACGATCCGCTACCAAAACGCATACTCACTAGGACTTATACGCGAACACTAACTGGTTGCCGCGTGGTGTGAAGCAATACTGGCCTGATGCAAGCGGCACAACGTTGCCGTTAAAATTGATTGACAAGGATACAAGCAGCGATCAGAGTGTCCCCCCTTTCATTCTATTGGTGGACATCTTCCCCGCCCCAACATTGCTAGCAGCCCTCCTTACTCACATCCGCGTTTCAAAAGCAAGGCTTCGCATCAGCCCCTTCATCTGCGTCGTGATGACATGCCCTCGAACATATGTTCCTTGCAGGCGGGCCGCGGATGATGCATGCGAGCCAGTGATGATCGACGTTCAGCCAGGAACCAGGGTGTGGGGCACGGATCGAAGGATTCAAAGTTTGGTGGCGGTCAGTCTGGATCGAACGAGTACAGAATGAGGCCAACGAATCTCAGCGTGCGCGTCAAGTGTGGTGTGAATAGGAATCGTTGCAAGTCTTTTGAGTAGGAGAAGGCGGTCCACGATCGGGTCTTGATCCCCGCGGCCTTTCCCCAGCTATCCAGATGAACTTTACAATCGCAACTGCACCAAGCTCATCTTGGTCTTTGCATCTCACGATCTTGTAGGAAGTGATTTCGGTAACAGTCACACCAACAATGGCTTTCCGACTGGTTGATCGAGCTGAAGGTATGGGCTCAAATCCCACGTTGAGTTACAGGACCTCTCTCATCGTCATCGTCTTCCTCGCACTCGCCGTCTCTCATTCTCTTGAGGTCTTCGTCAGAATCTTCCGTCGATTCCGCTCATATCGCGGGGTCTACTTCTACGCGCTGATCGCAGCGTCTCTCGGTATCATTATACACGCCTTCGGCTACTTCATCCGCAACTATAATGTATGCGACTCAATTCCACTGGAGATCACCATGGCGTGCGGCGGGGGCATACTCATGATTACTGGCCAATCTATCGTACTCTGGTCGCGGCTGCATCTCATCAGCTCAGGGAAGACGGACAAATGGTTGCTATACATGATCATCGCGGACTGCATTGTCGTGCAAGGAGGAGCAACTACGCTTATGACTGGATCCAGTCTGGCGAAACCTGGAAAGTGGCTCCAGATCTACGAGAAGTGGGAAATATTCCAGGTTACGTGGTTTGTCTTTCAAGAGTGTGTCATCAGCGGGCTGTACATCTATCGCACCTTCATACTCATGCGCAGCTCGGCTGTGTTCAGAGGCCCAGATGCGAAGCGCCTCTTCAATCATCTTATCGCCGTGAATTCGGTTGTCATCGCGCTCGACGTTACTATCCTCGCTTTCCAATATGCTGGTCTTTATGAGGTTCAGACAAGCTGGAAAACACTCGCCTACGCCATCAAGCTGAAACTCGAGTTCGACATCCTCAATCAACTTGTCGACTTCACGACGCAGGGCTTTAACGCGCAGGCCGGTTCGCGTCATATCTCTGGAATAAGCGACGGGCGTGGGATTACGAAGGATGGTTTAGGAGAAAACGCGCGCGGTTCACGATTTGGCCCCTCGACGTATGCGCGTATGGACGAGGATGGAACAACTGCGTTGCCAATGGGAAACGTGGTGATGACTACAGAGATACGGATCAGTATCGAGCAGGATGCTATCAGTGAAAGAAGTACACAAGCACTGCGCGACAGGAACGGTTCGATGGCTTGATCAGCACGTGTACTTGCGATCTGTTCGGAGGGAGCGTTTTCCGCCCGGGTGCGTTCGCCTGATGGAGCAGCATCCGTAGTTAAAAAATACAAGATAAATCCGCCATATCTTAGTACTCGCCGTTACGTCGCTACAATTGCATAGGGTGTTGGTGGCCAGTGTGTCATTCTGACGATCTGACATGAGTTGTTCATTCTGGGTCTATGACCGAACGCAAATCGCCAAAGCGACTTGTCAATCATTACAGTGGGTTCTTCTTGTGCTATCCGATTCGCATAGGATCGTCATCGTGAATGAGGTTGTGAAGTTTGCGTCTGGACCCTTAGATCGGATCGTGATGCTAGCTCACCGCTAGTGCACCCGAATCGTCGTCGCTCTCGTTCCCCAGGATGCTGACATCATAGCTCCACCACATCATGGGCACGCATCGAGAAGTCGCTGCGGCAATCGGTGATATGGTACCTGCATCTCAGGGTCATCAAGCGTGATGTCGTCGCCAGTGATGCAGAGATTTGCTGTGCACGGTCGAACATTTAAATCGAGAAGTTGCCAATAGCCATCTGAATCCATCTTTCCCCATATTAACGTCACACCAAGCACACCCTCAGACGATTTCATTTTCGCATTACATCAGTAATCCATCACACTACAAAATCGGACACACAGCTCGCACCATTGCACCTTCCCATTCAATAGGCATATAAACAATCCGCAACAATGGCCTCCAGAATGCTTCGTATCAACCGCAACGTTTTCCTCGCAGCACGACCGGCAGCTCGCATTGCCTCTCAAAGACCACCGTTCAGAAACAACATCAACGACCTCAGCAACCACCGCTTTTTTACAACAACACAGATGATGTCCGTCCAAGTTGACTCCAACTTCATCTCGCAGATCACTGCGGCAGAGAAGCTTATCACCGGCAAGGATGAGCCAGCGAAGGGGGGCCCAACCGCAAAAGCTCAACAGCACGCTGGCCAGAACCTGACAGCACAAGTCATTCACGACATCACCGAGGGCGAGAAGCTGCTTACCGGCAAGGCTGAGGTTATGCAAGGAGGCCCAACGTCCATCGCCCAGTCCGCTCTTACATCTGGCTCATCGACATCCACCAACAATGCCAACAACTCCTCTGCTTCAGGAAAGCTGGACTCAGAAACATTGAGCAAGATCACTGAAGCTGAGAAGAAGCTCACTGGCAAGGCACAACCGGTAGCCGGAGGCCCTACTGCGCAGGCGCAGAGCCATGCTAAGGAGCCCATCACTAGCGAGGCTCTACACGACATCACCGAGGGTGAGAAGAAGGTCACTGGTGGAGAGCGCGTAAAGGGAGGTCCCACTTCGACCGCTCAATCTGAGCTTGCCAAGAGCAGGTCATAAGCATAGCCTTATGAGAGAGCTTCTACTGCTACGACTGTCTTGGCGTACTGTGTACAAAACTGTATCATATTGCATGGCAAGGGTTCCAAAGAAGGTTAACGACTATATCACGACATGACTGTATTATATATCGAGGGTTTTAGACTATCATGTATATGATAGTACAATTCAAACAACATTAATTTATCGCTGCTCGTAGTGTACGTGAGGTCTCCACGTAGCAATGCCATTATCTAACAACGTGTTGCGTATCCAGAACCAAGAAGAGAAAGACAACGTCGCCAGTCAATGCGTCGCACATGCTGACGCGCTATCCAAGGTACAGGGCTCATAATAAGCAGTGCGAGATCATATCCATCCCTCTCGCTCTCTCTCATCCTTGACCCCATTCCCCTTCAACCACCCAACACCCACATTTGCTACACCCTTCCACCTTTCCACGCTCTTCTTTTTGCTAAACCGATATTGCCGATCACTGCTCCTGGCTAGTCTCTCGTTTAGCAGCCCATCCCCTGACGCACCCAAGCCACCCAGCTCGATGTCCTCCCGAACCTCCGCTTCGCGAAACCCAAACGCCGATCCTGCGCCACGTCTCGACCGTGTCGAATTGACCCTGTGGAGGGTAGGAGGTCTGGATCCGATCGTCTCGTTGGATCTCACGCGCCTTAAACGGTCCTGGAGGTCTGCTGCTTCGCCATCGCCTACGATTCTGCCTTTGCGATTGGAAGGTGGGGTATGGTAATCAAAATTGGAATTTGCGCGGCGGAGACCATATTTGCGAGGACTCTGCTCGAGGGCTTGACCGAGTTCTTGGATGGCTTCCTCACGTGCGCGCATGCGTTCCAGAGATTGCATGCGCGGTGCTGCGAATGCGCGGCCTTGAACCGATTCGGATGGACGGCGACCAAGGCGGGGTGGTGAGTGGCGGGCTGTGCGCTTCTCTTCGATAGCCATGGCCACTTGGGCGACAGAGTTGGGGACTACGTCCAGAGAGTTCTGAGATGTGATGATCAGCGGGTGCGAGAGAGGGGTTGGTCATGAGACGTACCATGTGGATGAGTACGATTGGTAACTGAACGGTAACGAGCTTTCTGAACAAGGTCAGCTTCATCGGGGAGAATCATGCGGATACTTACGTATGTGCACTCGCGATGATGACATTCAGGAAGTACCTGACTTCGAAATATTTGCCTACTTCAGTCAGAAAGGCGGCTCATGTTACGCCATGATGAAGCACCTACCACACTTCACCGTACCATGGCCTCGAGGTACCTCAAGATCACAAGTTCTGATGTGAGTTTGGTGTGCAGAAACGCCGCTCCAGCCAGCGCAGCCATTCCTCACGATGGATTTGCTGAGAATAGACCGCTCGTTGCTGTCAAAAATGCGAGCCTGACCAGCAGACTTCTCCATCGTAGCGGCAGCAGCCTGCAAAGTACTCCCATTAGCATCATTGTGTGATCGTAGAATATGCACTCATAACAGACGTGTTTGTAGCATAGTATGTCCCTTTCCAATTGAAGCTCGATCTTCTTTACTGTCTTGCGACTGTTATTGGCAATATGGACATCGACGTAAAGGCTAGTACCGCTGACCCAGACTTGACGATGTAGACCTGCTGTGACCCGAACGACCTCGACAGTGTTTTCTCGGGGCTTGATCCACTCATCTGATGCAGTCAAGGGGCTGGGAAGCGACACAAGTGCCTTCTCAGCTACCTTGTGTTAGCATGTAACCACAAAACCGAAACCGAAACATTTCATACGATCGTACACTGAGAGCACTATAACGTCTTGAGAAGTTCTGACAATGTACTGTCTTCCTTGGTCGCGAACAAGAAGAGACACACAAAGTATGTAGCGGATCCTTGCATTCTTCGATTGGAAGGGCGGAGGCCCGACGTTGAGAGGTAAACTTAGGTTGAAAGCAAGGTTCGTCGTAGAAGGCATCAGATGCCAGAATATATCTGCTGAACTTATTGGCTCTTGGGTATCTACCATATTCTGAGGCGGCGGATTTTGCTCGTCAATAAGCTCTGTGGCTAGGTTGAGAAAGACAGCTCGTCTGTTACCGCTTATCTCCTCCGTCCCAAGAAGATCGATAGATATCCGAGCAATGTCCAGAGTCCTTCTATGACGTATTCGCTCTGCATCGTCGACGTTTATCTGAACAGTCCCTTCGATAGAGCTTCCGCCTACGAATATGCCTGCGGATAAGTCCAAGCCAAGCTCAATTCGTGGATGTCGGTGTAATGGAAACTCTAGCAACTCTTTTGATAGTGGATCACGAACAAACGTCCTGGAGGGTATGCGTCGGTTAATGTCTTGAGATTTAGGATCGAGGCGAGCAACGATGTGGCGTAGAGGAGACTGTGATTGACCGTGTCGAAGGATAGTGTTGGAACTGTTATTAGGAGGCTGGAGAGGTATAGTAGGTATTGCACTAATTGTGTTTGTCGCTGTCGCCTGCGTTATGTGTATAGGTGGTATCTGTTGCGGCTGTCGGGTTCGTGAGGTGCTAGGTGCACGAGGGCGTGAAGAGGATCGTGGCGGAACGTTGCCTGCTGGAACGCTGTATATACTGCATATGCTGACGTTATCTGCAGGACTTGACGGAGATGGTGTTCTAGAAGCCCGACCTCTGCAGGTGGATCTTATACCGTTACTTTCGATGCTATTCTTCCGGTCAGGTTCTATGTTTTCGCCATGTCGGTTGTCGTTGCTTGGACGGCGTCCTGTAGCAGCAGAGGGCCGACGCGACATCTCCGTGCGCGAGATGCTACGGGGAAAGTAATTAGATAGGGCGTTTCGAGGTATAGTATCAGCTAAGCTTGATTCGGTGACTTCGCGAATGTCTGACAAGGGCCGGGTTTTAGCCCATGAAGAGGCGACGGAGTGTCCTCTTTGTTCACCAAGATGGCTGCCAAGCATGCCTTCACCAGCTATGATATTGCCGTTGTCTGACTCTGGCGAAGCGAGCAGAGACGAGATACTGGTCCGATCTGGTGAAAGACGGGCGTTAGGTAGCTGCTCTTTGACCAGCGGTGGCTGCGAGTGTCCTGACCCTTTCAGCAGCCGTCCCGCTATCTCGGAAAATGTCATTGCTGCCTACCGTCAGCGCGATGCTTTGGGAATTTATATCGTGCGGAGCACCCTCGTAAACGATAGACTGCGCGCGAAGCTGGCGACTAGCGACTAGGAGCTGACCGAGTGATTGATGCGGGATCTGATACTGCTGAAAACAGGATGAAAGTCATATGAGACTATGTCGATGCTTGGATATCCTGGTAGAGGTGAGAACTGTCGCTTGAGGGTTGCGTGTTGGAGACTGAATGCCCCAATGTCTCGTCTCATTGCCTCTAGAGGTGAGGAATGAACCTGTGCGGTACTCGCCCTTTCCATGATGATGCCACACGTGGCGATTGAAGTTAGCATGAGCGATCAACAGTGTCCGGAGCAAACAATTGTCGCTGATGAACATGCAACCAAAATCGTTGCACTGAGAGTCTACACTGCTTGACTACTCTTACGTTCATACTGGCAGTAGTGCCTCGCTAGTCGCTGGGCCACTTGAAGGCAAGACGACACGGCACGGCACTCACAGGCATGCTGCTACTTCCTAGACTTCTCTGGAATTCATAGTGCGCATTGTTATACATGAATTATGATCTCAAGATTGCATGTTCCGGGGCTCATGTAGAGCAATCCGAGGAAGCCGCATCTAGCAGGCAATTCCGACTGTGTGATGCCGCGACGATGCCGATTTGACACGTCTCGACTATTCGACACGGCTGGATGTCAATGTCACGATGTGACAAGGCGCAGCCAATTTCCTCGTACGAAAGTCTCGACCGCGTCAAAGGTCACCTGCTCGCAGAGCCGAGAAAAAGCGTGGTGACGCTATGGCTGCTTCGGGCGAATAGGACTCATGTGGTGCATAAAGCAACGACCTCCGGTGATCCCTAGGTTAGACTTCGGTAGCGGTTCGGAAGCTGGATGCAGCGTTGGCGGAGAGAATTGTCTAGAGTACCAGATGTGTGGTAGTGGTGTGCTGTGCATGCGTCAGGCTTTGAGGCCGGCTTGGCTCCTTGCTCGCTGTTCGCAAAATTCCGTCCCCAGACTAGCGGGAGAGTCAAGCCACGTGACGAGCGAAAGAGCGTGATCGGAATTCCGTTGCGCTTCAGCTACTGGCGTTGTCCTGGTCACGGCTGAGAAGACGTCGAAGGTTCATCGGTGAGGCATGTCGGATGGACTGGCTGGTCTTCGTATCGATCGTTATCGCGAGCTGCACCCCTCGTCATATCAGATGGAACATGCTCGTCAGCCTTACATATGCCGCCTGCGAGTAGGATGGCTTCATACGGACGAGGTGCGTGGCCTCGGTGCAGGGGCAGCGCGCTCCGACGTCGGTGGGCTGGTGTCGATGCGACGACGAGTTGCTTGCTTTTCACAGGAACACTTCATGGCTGCGCAGATGAAATCAGACAGATGCATAGATGTCGCGGTCGATCGCCCTTGGATGGGAGACGCCTGCTAGATAACACCCCAAGGCTCGCAGTCTGCACTGCGCGTCCATGGAGAACCGGAGAAAGCGTGTAAAAGTTTCTAGTGGCGCGGGAACTAAACACGCAGCTACGCCGTATGCAGTATCGCGATCCAGCTCGGCTGGGGCAGCCATGTTCGGCGTCCTCCACCAAGGCGTCTTGCACGAAGCCTGCCTGCCAGAGCCGTGATGCAGCGTGAGCACCCCGCGAGAAAATTCTGAGCTGTCGGCCAACCGCGCTCCCGCACGCTTGGCCGTCATTGCGCGTTAGAAGTGCCCAGCAGCGTTCGCGCGGCTGCGATTCGTTGCGCGCCAGAGGGCACATCTTCCTGGAGGCGAGTCGAGTGTCGAGCTTTAACCACACGGGAGGAGGTGATCTGGGCAGCAGAGAGTGGTCCGCCCGCCTTTTCAAGTCCAGCACTCCGCCCCTCCGTTCGAGCCCATCTCTGTTTCCATTACCCAAGAGCTTACCTCACAACTACTGCGCGACCACACACAGGCCCGAACGCCTTCTTCTTATCATACATTATCAAAACCCCATACAAACCGTATCGATTTTCGACCCGGCGCTGCGGCTGCCCAGCACAAGCGCGTCTAAGCGACCAGAGCCTCCTGCTATCTCCTTCGACCTGCCTTTGTCGCATCTCTCGCATCTCTTGGCGCCTCTGTGCCCCTCTATCTGCACCGAGGGGTACGGTGGCCGCAGATGGGAGATAGTCTCGTAACAGATATGACGGCTCCCGTGGGCAAGGCAGAGGCTTCGCGCGATGGTTCGACCTCCTCTATCGGATCGTCGCCCGAACCTGGTCTGGCGGAGACATATACCCAGGAAGAGCCCCAGCAGCAGAAGCGCAAAGGTGGCCGTAAACCTGTGAGCCTTCCTGATACCAGTTGCCTGCCATGGCTGCAGCAATTGAAGCGCCGATTACCATGTCGAAGATAGGACTAACCAAGCGTCGTAAGATTTATGCCACCTCAGAAGAGCGCAAGCAGCGCAATAGACAGGCGCAAGCCGCCTTTCGTGAGCGACGGACAGAGTATATCAAGCAGCTCGAGAGCACCATAAAGCACCATGAGGATACCCTGCAGAACCTGCAGAACAGTCACCGCAACGCCGCCGACGAGTGCCTTATGCTCCGGTATAAGAATTCTCTACTCGAGAGGATTCTGCTAGAGAAAGGTAGCCCCGATCTTATCAACATGTCTATCTATCAGCGTACACACGCTAACCCCTTGCTCCACCAGGTATCGACGTCCAGGCCGAGCTGCGCGCGAAGACTGGCAGTCCAAACCTGGGGCCGACCAGAGCCCCAGCCTCTGCACATACCTCGCCAAACCAGGCGCCTCTCCAACAACGTGCTATATTGAACAGACAACAACAGAGGCGGTCGCTGCAAGGCCCGCCCAAGGTTGATAGTCTAAATGGCTTGCCCATGATACAGCCGGATGGGCCGATTCAGCGTTCACCACTGTCGCAACCCACTCCTGGTTCACATATGTCGTCGCCTGCTCAATCAGCAACGCGCTCGCCGAGCTTCATACCTCACGGTCAATCAGTGTCTCCCAACTTTGGGCCCATTCCTCCACAGCAGCAGCAGCAGCATCAACAGCAGCAACAGCCGCTGCGGCCACAACCACCTAGATCAAACTTCACTCCTATGATGAATGCTCAGCGACCTTCTCCGCTTGTAACAAACCAGCCTGTCTCGAATGGCATGACAAGCGCGTCTACCGTTGGCAGCAACGGAAACGGCATAACTCAGAGCAGTGGTCCTTCGTCTTTCTACCAGACTCAATTCACAGACCATATGAGTCAACTCGGCAAGCTGACCCGTTTCCTTTCCCCTCTTAGGTATAGGGCTTTGTAATCCTAGGCTGATTTCGTGTTATAGAGCAGGAGTACGAGGAACAAGCCGACTCCTACAACGACCATGACGACCCGAGCGACCACTCTGCTGGCCCCGGCCCGTTCCCGCAGCAGAGCTTCCCCCCTTCGAACAACATGCCACCGCCGATGCCGCCGTCGCAGAACCCTCCCTTTACGAGCCCAGCAGCTTTAGCCCCCAACGACGGGGGCCACAACTTCAATGGCATGGGCAACAACCACCTTTTCGACCCGTACGACCCGATGCTCGACGCCGACCCCTTCGGACTTTCGGCCAGCATGCACTTCCCCACGATGTATGAGAGTAGATGATGATATGAGGAGGATTCATGGGAAGAGGAGGCTATATTGGAAGTTAATCAGGGACCAACCGGATCGTCGCCCGCCGACTGATACTTTTTAATGACGTTGTTTAGCGGGCGTAACAACTGCTTTTACCCAATCGACCACGTGTCACGACAGTACGACGGCGTTCAACAGCAGACCCAGAGTCTTGCTATGGGGGGAATTCTCAAAAAGTTATTATTTGGCCTGAAACAGGTCATACGACGTGTATATTGTGATGGAAATTGCTTGGGGTTATTGTTGTGGACAGCAATGAATGCTTCTCATCCATACGTTTCACTCTGGCATTGCAGCCCGTTCGGAAGACGGGATGGTGCCATGTACATATTGTAATCCAAGTCGACCGCAACTGTCAATGGAAGTCGCACCCCCAATCTCGCCTCATGAAGTTTCTTGACAATGCCTATTGCTCCTTGCCAGAGGGAGCAAACGGATGACGTCAATTTCGTTATATAACCAACTGGCAACATTATTTTGAGTCTGCATTACAAGCATCTGTACCTGCCTCAGATGCTTAGTATTGGAGCGATGCATACCTGGTGTGATTTGAGCCTCGGAATGACGTGCACCTGAAGCCACACTTGATTCACACCAGCCTCACACCGGTGTCGCAGAAGTGTCCAATCGAAAGCCTAGCTTCTGTTCGATGATCCCTTCCCCTAGGTATCATTTCTGGCTAGCATTACACAGGAATCGACTGAAGCGCTGTATGCGGCAGCGACTGCAGCGTTGTTGTTGCTTCTGTGCCTCCAATAGTCCTAGCCCCACATCACTCGCTTACGGAAGCAACCCACGCCCAATTTCGAATCACCAAAACCTCTTGCCCGCAACATCGCGCCTATCACCCCGTTCGCGAGTCACATTCTGAGAGCCACGTCCCTAAATTTCGTAGGGCAAGCTCTCGCATCCTTTTTCTCTCCCGGCAGATTGTGCATCTAGAAGGGCAAAGCGCGAAAGGCGCTCCAATTCGTCAAGATGTCGCAAATTGCTTCCAAGGTAAGCTCCAACTCACCCCGCCATCAGGTCCAGCGTCGCGCCCTCCCATTGAGGGCTGCAAGAGTGGCTGCAGTCTGTTGTAGAGCTTCAAGATGCTAATTATAAGTACAGAACATTTACGAGCTGCTGGGTATGTCGCAGACGCACTGCACAGTACCGGAACATTCACTCACGACCCCGCAGGCAATGACCCCGAGCTCGACCCCGACAGGCCGGCTGACCCACCGACGAGGGCAATTGAGAAGCCCGTCATGAGGCATGGCAAGCGCGATGGACCCGACGCTCCCAAGCCCATGCCCGAGAGGCTGAGCCACCAGAACCGTGCCAAGCAGACCGACAACGCCAACGAGAACGGTACGTTGAACAAAAGGGCGTTTAACATGCTCCGGCTTCACAAGGGGAACTCCATGAACACTGGCTAACGAAACACAGCTTTCCGGGATCGCGGCGTCGGCTCTGACAAGAACCGTGGAAGGGGATCTGGCGGTGAGTGGAATACCATTGGTTCGCACGCACATGTACTGATTTGTTATAGAGCCTACTGGTGCTTCAACTCGCGGCCGCGGCCGTGGTCGCGGTGGACGCGCAGGAGGCCGCGGTGGTGCTGCTCGTGCCGAGGGTGACCGTCATAGCAGGACTGGCATCGCGTATGAACGACCCCACACTATATCTTGATACCATCTAACAATTTTCAGCGACCACGACAAGCAGGCCGCACACGGCTGGGGCGGAAACGACGGCAACGCTGAGCTCGCTGACGAGCAGGCTGGCGAGGCCATTGCCCAGGCCGAAGAGAAGGACGCCATCAAGGAGGACGCTGAGGACGCCGCCGAGGCCGAGCCTGAGGACAAGAGCAAGTCCTACACCGCCTACCTCGCCGAGTTGGCGGAGAGGAAGCTCTCTCTTGCCGCCCAGAACGTCCGCAAGGCCAACGAGGGCAGCAGCAAGAAGTTCCCTGAGGGCACTGCCCTCGCCCGTGAGGAGCAAGAAGACTTCATGGCCGGTTCCCAGGGCAAGGCCAAGCGCGAGCGCGCCCGCAAGGAGAAGGTCCACGTTGAGCTCGACGGTGACCGTATGCTTGCTCCCCCTCCCCGCGAGGGCGGTGCCCGTGGAGGACGCGGCCGTGGCCGTGGCGAGTTCCGCGGCGAGGGTCGTGGCCGCGGTGGTGAGTCCCGTGGCGAGGGACGTGGTCGCGGCGAAGGTCGTGGCGAATTCCGCGGACGTGGACGTGGTGGTGAGGGACGTGGACGTGGCGAAGGCCGTGGTCGTGGAGGCCGCGGTGGTGCCCCGTCCAGCATCAACATCACCGATTCCAGCGCCTTCCCCAGCCTGGGCGCATAGACTGCGTCAACACTGGTCGCTGCCTGAAAACAGGGTGTACCTGCATCCCACAATCAAGTGCGGATGAAATGAACGAATGAACAACAGCTATCTCACGATGGGACGAGCGAACGGAGAGCTAAATCACGATATCAAGGAGTCTCTAATTGAGATGTCTGCGGGCTAAAATACTTACATCTACCGGTACCACGAATGTAGTGAACTTGAGCTCGGCCTTTGCAAGTGTTTTGATTCCCCGCTTGGTCTTCTTATGTGGTGCGGTAGCACGTTTCTATGAATAAGAATCAAAAAATTGTATCTGATGACTTCTAGTCCATTGCAACTATCAAGGTCTTACACGATCTTTATCGAGACGGATATCCGTGTGTCTAACAACAATTATGAAGTGTGAAGAGGCCTTTCAGATGGATGTGCTGACATGCGAAGATATGTAAAGGAGCGCAACCATGGCTTACCTGGACATGATGAGCACCGTATTAATGAGCGCTGTTGTCAGGACACCATAGTTGTAAACCGAGGGAAGCACCACGGGACCTCAAGCTCCTGTCGCATAAAATGTGCCTTGTGACATTGGAAATCCTACAACAACCACTGGTAGCGGACAAACTGTTTGTACTACCGTAAGGTTCGTCTTTGATGCCTGCGCACAGTGTTCTGCCTAGCACTTCAGCCTTCTTCTTTGCATGCGTCATCGTTCCAGGTGTCAGTCAGGCCACCACTCCACAAACATCGCGCGTCAACGGCGCAGCCTCATCGCCAAACTTCCGTCTATTCGCCCCAGCGGTCGCGCAACTGGATGTAGTGCCCTGCATCACCTGCAGAGCACAGCCAAGGCGGCCCCGGGGATAGGTAGATAAGGCGTTACGCGCCAGGAACCATTTTCGGGAACGCGTGGGAGGCACACGGCAAATATCGCGCCATCCACACCGCACGCTCGCCCATCCCGAACCACTCCACATCAGCCTTCAACCCCATGTACATGCAAATACTTCTGCCTGTTTCCTTTTTCGAGCGGTGTTTGACACCTGCTCAGCCACTGGTTAGACCATGCGGTTCGCGCGTTGTTTCTGAGACTTGATTGGCCGATCTAGCCGTTGAAGTAAGATCTAAGGCTGAGACGCGGTCAGCCATTTGCCAAATGTAGGCTACGGCAGGACGGCTTTTGATGCATTTGTGGGACATCGATATGTCCAAAAGTTCAGCTTGTGGCTGTACATCTACTGCCTTATAACCAGGCTTTGCTATGTTTACTGGCTTACCACAACTTCACCTTTTTCCATACAACATCACTTGGATATTCCACAGGAGGTACATTCACGAGAATCACGGACTGGAGATAACCATATACAGCATTCGACAGAAGACGACTTGACTGGCTGGTCAGATGGCTTCCGCCGAGCAGCAACCGTTGTTAGATGAGAAGATTGCTCCCACACATGGACTGCAGAACGAGGATGAACATTCGCAAAACTGGATGAGACCGGCGGAGCGAAGTCTGAGCGATATACTGCGTCATGTCGTTATACTACCCCTCGTTTGCGGCCTCGCAGTTTATGGATCGTATACTCTTTGCAGGCAACACATTTTCCAGAAAACTGCATGGCTAGTGCCAGCACACGAAGGCTCGACTTCATTCAATTACACATGTCTGCCAGGCCAGACTTGTTGGCCAACCATAAACGAGTGGAATGCTTTCAACCAAAGCATCAACGGCAATCTCCGACTGACGGTACCCTGGGCCGCACCCTGCTACTCTGATCCTTCGAGCAAACAGTGCCAAGAGGTTGCAAAGAACTACGGTGATGGTGTCTCACGTACCAAACAATACGGATCCATGGAGTTTCTCGACTGGGAAAGGTGTGGTCAATCCCAATGCGCACTCAACTCTTTCAACACTTCAGCGCCCGTCTCTGGTACCTGCGCGCTAGGAAGGCTATCCGCATACCATGTAAGGGCTGAGACTGGGCGCGATATCAGCCAGACGTTGGATTTCGTTCGCAAACATGGGATTCGTGTCTCGATCAAGAATACTGGGCACGATTATTATGCGCGGTCAACAGCGTCGAATTCGTTGGCTATCTGGACTCATAACATGAAAGATACTAAGTTTCATAAATCCTTCCAGCCCACAGGTTGCAAAACCCGCTATGAGAACATCGGGGAGATTGGTGCTGGCATCCAAGCTCAGGAGGCGTGGGAGGCCTTCGAGCCTCATGGCATGCTCGTCACAGTTGGCGCAGTAGCTTCCGTTGGCATCGCAGGGGGCTACGGTCAGGGAGGTGGCCATGGACCGCTGGGGCCCAAGTATGGACTCATGATCGATCAAGCAGTTGAGTTCGACGTCGTCACTGCTGATGGCAAGCAACGCACTATCAATGAATGCAGCGACCCGGATCTCTTCTGGGCAATGCGTGGAGGCGGAGGTGGCAGCTACGCTGTGCTCACATCCTACAAGTTTCAGCTGCATCCGGCTGAGCCTATCAATGTGTACAGCTTTCAAGCTCACTTTCCGGAGCCAAAAGACATCGCCAAGTCGAAGATCCATCGCGACATCATCACCGGGCTTGCCTCCAATCAGCCCTCGTTTTCCAAGCATGGAGTTGCCGGATACAATTTTGTACTCCCAGATCATGTCGTGTTTCTTCAAGTATTGCCCTCTAGCGACACTTCAGAGATCAAGGCTATCACTTCCCAATGGCATGATTTTCTTACCAATTATCCTGGTCTAAATATCACCGAGAATGAGTATCACTCCTTCAAGAGATTTTCGCAGTACAATGAATTTACAGAGAGACCCGAGATATCTCGCAATGGGCCGGTCGGTCTAGGCTTCAATGGCGGAGGACGCTTCATCCCCAAGGATCTCTTCAATTCGACTGATAATATCGAACGACTAGTGGATGCAGTTGTAACTGCAATGCACTTCTCTCGCACCAACCATGGCGGTGGAGGCGCTCAGTTTTACGCTACTGGACCTGACAACACTCCCGATAATGGTAAGACTAGTGTGAACCCACTATGGAGAGACTCACTATGGGAGATAGTGATGGGCCAGTTCTGGACGACAGCCACACCACCAGCTGTGCGATCGCAGATCCAAAAGACCGTTTCCGCTACTATTGAGCACTTGAAGACCGTGACACCAGGTGGTGGGTGCTATTCTAATGAGGGCGATTGGACTGAGGAAGACTGGCAGCAAACGTTCTTCGGTGAGCACTACGATAGGCTACTGGCAATCAAGAGGCACTATGATCCTACCGGTCTATTCAATTGTTGGAAGTGTGTGGGTTGGACAGGATATGATGAGTAAGTGCAAGAACCCATATTTCATGAACAAAAGCTAATTGTGGCAGTCCAATGTATTCATGGTAAGTTCTGCCTGTACGAGATATATACGAGACATATACTGACCCTATATCTTCACCTTTGCAGCTATGCGCAAACTCAACAGACACCACTACCTTCTGTCCCACTTGGACCTGTCAGATAGATATTTTGAGTTTACGACTAAATGCGTACTTCATGCCAGCAGTCGACCTGTACGGTCGCGGTTAGACGCGCGATCACGTATGCATTTCATCACAGCCATCTTCTTTCTCATGCTATCGTATAGACATCAAGTCAATCCTTCTATTTTTGGGTTCAATTTCCAGCATTTATTGTTTGTTAACCCCACTTTGTACTCATCTGTGCCACGTCGGGGGTCCAATTGCACTCTGTGGAAGTCTTTGGCCCAGGGGCGGCCTCTCACCGCAATGTGAGCAACACTGGGTGAACCCCCACCGGGTCGTAAGAGAAAACATGCGGGGGCGCGTTGCGGCACTGTTTGTACTCATCTATTAACTTATCATCAGTAGGCTTCTCATTGGCCTGCGTTTGTCATTCACCAACTGCCAAGCGGGCCAACGCTTTTCCAGCGTAGCATATAACGCACGCTCACTTGTACTTACGGAACTTTAGGTGATGTAGAATAATAACAATAACAATCCCTTCATCGGCTCTAGCTCCCACACTTCTTACCTTTACTTCCTCCAACCCACATCACGCGACAGTCAACTACCACGAGATTATCACTCGAACCGCAATCTGCTCACACAATCACTTCAAGAATCTAACTCAGAACAACTCAGCAATGCGCGCATACTTCGCCGTTGCCTTTGCGCTGCCGCTCATCGCTGCGGGCGCGCACCTGGGCCATCGCCACAGTCATGATCATGCCGACGTTCATCGCCGCGCGGTCAAAACTGATGTCGTCGTTGTCACCGAGACGGTATATCTTACGCTGACTGCAGAGCCCATCTCGACCTCACCACAATCTTCTAGCTGTGCCGCCGTCAGCACCTCGACTGCGGCTCCACCGTCCATTACTTTCAACTTCCCGGAGAAGGGGCCATCCGATATCGCGTCCAGGTCTGCGTCGTCTTCTGCCGCATCGTTCTCTGCTGCGCCATCATCTGATTTACCACCTAAGACTCCATCATCTACCGGCAACCTCTATGCGCCTTTGAGCTACGAACCGCATACTGCCATCATTGTCAACTCCTGCGACTATGGCGTCTACGTATCTTCAATCGGCGACGTCACTACCTGTGGCCCCGGAAAGATTTGCGAGCTTGTTCCCGCTAACACCACCTACTCCGAACCCATCCGCAGCTGCGGCGACTCTGGAATCTCCCTCAAGGTCTCAAAGACGGAGTCAATGGCCCAGCCGATGCAGTTCGAATATACTGTCTGGCCTGACAGCACCACCATGTCCTACGATATCTCCTACTTGGACTGCCAAGTCAAGACTGACGATGTCTTTGACTTCAGCGCCTGCGTGGGACACGAGAAGGGTATACAGGCTGCCGCCCCCAATGGACCCGTCTACGAGTGCGTGGCAAATGAACCATGTGCTCAGAATGCCTACATTGTACCTGAGTTTGGCTACTTGCCCGGTGCACCGGTCGGTAGTTCCACCATCGACAAGGGTATTGCCTTCGAGATTTGCGCAGAGAACAGGACGTGAGTGGGAGATGAGGAAGAACGAAATTCGCGACAACGACTTGAACATTTCTTTCTCAGTTCGACCAACCGAGTTATCCGGACGTCTCTTCTTAGGGGCACGATGGATTGTTAACGTGTGTACTCATGTTGTTGTATTAATAATCTGGTTCAAACATCTTTCTAACAATTTTCGTACAGGCCCTGAATACTCCGGGTGGACAACATACACAGTCTCATGTGGGTTTACTTTCCTTCTTTGCCTTGCGTTCTTTTGTACATTCTCTCTGTTGAGGTCTTGTTATTCCCTTCTTCGAGCAAGGACATAGCCGAGCGGAAGTTGGAGGTTTGGAGATTTGTGGCGATGCAGATGGTATATGGATACTGGCGGTTAGCTAGCTCATGCCTCTCAATTGAAAGCCTTTTATACAATCTTCCTCTATCAGTCATGATGCTGAATATGCACCGGCATATATCTCCAGCGAATTCCTCATCACGCTGGGATCAGAGTCTCTCGCTAGAAGAGTAGAGTGAAACGAACTTTTATTGCCATTATTTCGTTACCCTGTCCACTCAACTCAGCCGACTAGCCAGAAACCTCCTCAGTTGTCCCAAGACTGTATCATCCAACGTCTGTGCACAAGCATTTGATTCGGCATGCTGGAACAAACTGGAAAGCTTTGACAGTGCAGTATCACAAGTCGGACAACTGAATGGCTTACAATCGTATTCCGTATCGCCGTCGTCGAGCAGCTCGTCCCGGTAATCTTCAAAAATGAAGTAGGGCCACTTGTAGCACTCGGCTGCAAGCTTGTTGAGATGGATGTAATTGATGTTACTACAGGTGCCGCGTTCGAGGTGAATGATCTGCCACGGTGAGCGAACAGACCAGAGTATGATGCATCTAAGATACGTGCCATGCCGCCGTAGGTCTTGAATGTTCTGGTACATAGGTAACACTCGTATGTCGGTTTGCGATGAGACAAGCAGTGCTACAAAATTTCAACTCCACACTCATTTGACTGACAGTTCTCACGCCTTACCTGATGGAGATGACTCTGTGAAGCGAAGTGCCTCTCACACTTAGTGCAGACGTTGAAGTCCTTCACATGGTCCAAGTACTCTTCAGATTGAGGAACCCAGTATGATCCACTTCCATCATTGCAGCCCTGACAAGCAGTACGGCAGCCTTCTTCACGAAAGTGGTCGAGTAGGTCCTCCCAGGTAGCGCCGTCGAAGTCGCATCCAGGACATTCGTGATGGCTTGGTGAGTCGCGGATATGCTGATGGAGTGCATGAGAAGTCCGATAGCAACGGTCGCAGCGCTCACAAGACCTACTCATTGTCAGTGGGAAAAGGCATACAAGGGGTTACTTACACGGCCATCCTGAAGAATTCACGGCTGAATATTTGCTGGTTAGAGACCTAGCGGTTGTGTTTCTGATGTGTTCGTAGGGGATGAGGAAACGTACAGATTGTAGGTGCAACATGTAGTGAGCCGGTCGCGTTTGTGTTTGTTCGGAGCTCCACTTTCTTGAATCAAGTGATCGCGAATAGGCAGCGAGGGTCTGCACCTATGCTGACCTACATAGCAATCAGTTGGACCGCGACAATATTTGCTGAATCAAAATTATAGCAGTCGCTTGGATAGCTGCATGTCATAGCCCAGATGTTAGTAATACAAGCAAAGGGCAGAAAGAAGGATAGAAGTAGCTCACGACTTGATTGGAGGACACAGGCTAGACGTGTTCAGGATCCCAGCATGTGGTGGCAACAACTCGCGCTGCGTCGTTAGGAGTAGTAATATTCTATGACGAGAAATCTACTGAGACCTAGCCGTCTCTCTACGAATCCCACTCTTTGAACGCCTTCTGCTTTTGCCTGCTATTCCATTGCAAGGTCCTGGAAATACTTTCGATCCAATCCGTTCTCCTCTTGTTCAGCGGCAGCACACTCGGGAACGGGAAGCGACTTGCACTAATCGTGACGTAGTCGCCAGGCTTGAGTTCGACCCTTTCCCTGCCATCGAAACTAGCCCATGAGCTCGTTCTCGCGTCGTAAGGTACACCGCAGCGGAGCACGATGGTATCGGGTAGGATGATAGGTCGGAACGAAAGCGTATGCGCGCAGATGGCGGTGACAAGGACCACGGGGTTGTCGGGATGGCAGAGCGATCCGCCTGCTGCAAGGTTGTATGCAGTCGAGCCAGTGGGTGTAGAAACACAAATACCATCAGCCTGAACGGTAGTAAAATGCTCGTCGTCTCCGAACAGCTCAATAGATGACATGGTAGGGTTTGGCCCTCGGTCTACAACAACCTCGTTCAAGATGTTGTGTGTGCCATCTGAATAGTGTGTATGGTGGTCATCAATTTCCTCTCCGATGAGCTCTTCAACCAAATCCCGACCCTCGCCGTCTCGTTTTTGTGACCGCATGACCGTGGCTTCGAAGCGGAGACGGAGGCTGACTGTGATGCCATCTGCGAAGGCAGTGGATAAGGATTGTGGGTATAGCTCGAAATCGAATTTGGTGAGGAAACCGAGAGAGCCTAGCGAAAAGGCGATGGTTGGGGGAACGATGCGCTGGAACAGCCACGACGCATATAAGACTGTGCCGTCACCACCGAGCTGTGTTGCTGTTAGCTTTTGAACAAGGTACAGAACGATACTTCTTACCGCCAGAACGATGTCAAAGGTCTGCGGCTTTTGAGCGCACATCTCGTTTGTCCAAAATTTAAGACGTCCTTGGTACGACTCATTCTTCAGCAGCCCTGCAGCGTCGAAGATCTTGTTGTCCTCCAGCGTTTGCTCGACGTAGCTATGTCTCGTTAACCATGTCCCTTGATTGGCAATGCCGCCACATACACCTTGTACTCCGGGTTCTTCTGAAGAAGCCAGTCGGTGACCTCGCGCGAGTTCTTGATCAGAGCCTCGTCATGCGCCTTGCCCAGAATGAAGATATTCTTCACGTGTAGCTTAAGCCTGATCTGCGAGAGCTTCTTGGACAGTTCCCGTATGCCAAATGCCATGTCTGACAGCTCCTTCTTGGTCAACAACCGCGAGTGCTGTGTCTGCTCGGCACGCGTAGAGCTTGGGTCCTTGTCCACACGCCTTTCCTGCGCGAGACCTTCGTGTGACTGGGAGTGGTCTTTTACGGGCAAGCCATCGTGCTTCTCGAGTAGGGAGTGGACAATACACGCGGTGGTGCGGCGACCATTTTCGGGGCGGGACGTCATCTTGCCAGAGGGGTGAGGAGCAAGGGAGGCTTTGCGACGATGGCCGTTATATCCGCCTTCGAAGACGACCTGTGTTGGTTGGTCAACGTGTCAAGAACAAGAATGGTGAATTATGTACCTCTAGGGCATCGTCGTGGCTATTCACTTGGGTAATCTCCTTGGTATCTTGGTCTCCAAGCTCGCTCTCCATGAGGAAGTTAGCCTGATGGCATCGTTATGACGTTTGGGAGTGCGCTAGGTACCTCGATCGCTTCCTGCACACCCGGACTCAGTTGATCGAAATAGCTCGCCGACATGACTGAAGCGTACAAACAAGCCGGCGATTGGAGGGGTCAAAAGGTACCGTTGCCCTTTTGTAGCCCTTCTGTAGCGCGGTGCGTAATGTCGAGGGTGCAATAATGGGCGCCGCCTCGGCCCACTTTCCGAGGGGCAGCCAGACCAGGCCCCGCCCGGGTCCAATCACGTCCGCCCAACGCCGATGAGATCAGCCACCGGCGTCCTTACTCATACCCCAATCTCCAACCACCATCATTTTCGCAGTCGTCTTTTTTGCTGACTGAGGCTGCTAGAGTGGCACCTCTACCGATTCCAGCACTTCCTCGATAACGTCCTCAACCGTGACACCTTCAAGGACAGCCTTTACTGCTTCGAGCGAGCTGCCCCATTGCATGCTGCGCTCGTTCTCTGGAGCCGTGATGACGATACGATGTGGGTATATCTTGCGGGCTGCCAAGGCCACCATGGATGGTGAGATGTATTCAAGACCATGCAGTGGAGCAAGCGCGCTGCTACTATCAGTATGAACCTCCTGTGGTAGCAGACCACGTACTGTGCTAGCGTATTGAAGTGCCTCGTGGCCAACGCAGAGATGCCTCCTGCGACTGCTCGGTGCAGCCTCATGAAGACGATAATGTTGTGCAGATAGGCTCGTACTTCAGAACTGATCTTCACTTCTGACACCTGCTTCGTCAAGCTTACAAGATCCTGCAACGGTCAGCTTGCTTCAAGACGATCACAATCCACATACCTCAGAAGAGAATAGCGCTGTCTGCGGCTTGTACTTTCCTGGTTGAAATGGTGGCGTGCGTACTACAGAAGACATGGAAGCACCGTCATCTGACACATGCTGCTTCTCCTGTAGCTCTTCAATGTTTGGCAGTCCATCATCCATTTGATGTTTGTGTGAGATGAAAAACTGGTCATTCTACAACCCAGTCAGCTAATGCATCGAGGTTCCTGATTCAACCTACCAGATGCATGGTCAAGCGTGGTGTGTCTGAAGCGTTCAAAGCGATGAACAAAAACGGTCTCGGCGCCGCGTGTACGGCTGTTCTTGTGAAGTTCCGCTTGCCTCGGATCAGCTGTCTGTCGTTAGTTATGCTCGAGCAGAAAAGGCGGACGATGGACCTCTAAAGCCTGAATCTGAACCTGCGGGTTCGCCCTGTTGAGGTTCCTTGCAACAACAATGTTCGCGATACGTTTGCTGTCCAGCGGACTAAAAGGTCTGGGTGATTTCGACGTGCGTCGGTCTGATTTCCCTGGTGATTTTGAGATGGGTGAAAAGTGACCGGGAGCATGAGCTACGTCTCCTCTATCTCGCTCATTTGTGCTCCCAAAGTAATCGCTCTCTTCCCCCTTGACAAGGATTCCGCTTCCGAAATCATCCAGCGTAGTATCTTCGTTGCATTCCAGTACAGCCCACGTTAATCCGAAGACATTTGTAGCGACCTGGAAAGGTCAGTACATCAGCAACCATACTCCGAGAGCTACCCACAAGCTTCAACTCCTCTACCACATCACGGGTTAATTCCCTTTCCGCTTCGATGATGCAATGTTGATCCGCGACTAAACAGATGAGAACAGCAAGCTCCAGATCGCTCAGCGACTGCACCTTCTCTGTTACGTGATCTTCTGAGGCCTCCATGGTTCCCGAAACTTTGTTTAGCTCAATCTAATCTTGAGTCAGATATTGGGGGCTGCGAGAAAGGTTGGCGACTGACGCGTTCGGACGCGGTAGCTGTTCCTGAAGTCGACTTGGAAGAGTGAGCAGGGGTCAAGGGACGCTAGGTCAAGATTAGATTAGGTCGGATACCTTTGATGTCGCTTGCTGCATCCCGAGGCTCGCAAGTACTCAGCACCGGAACAATCTCACGACAGCAGCAAATTCGGCATATATGCATAACACTGCACATTCAAAGAAGCATCATATCCTTGGTTTCTACCAGACTTCTGGTGCACCGAGCTATCGATGGCTATGATTTCTCCATGAACATGCGCTCACCCTCAATGCGCTCCTATCACGTTTCCCACCACCAACGATGTTCAAGTACTCTGCGATACCCATTATCACTCTAGTGTCTAACCAGGCCTCTTATGTGCGTCCAATTTCTGTTCCTTAAGTATTTCGACCAGACGGAGGCTCTTCCTGGTGTTCGATGTAGTAGTCTTTACTGCTGAAGCGCTCAGTGCAGGAAAAGCTTCCACTGCAACACGAGGCTTTTGGCGTGTTGCAAGAGTGCTGACGGGAGACGGCAATACCTCCTGACCGTCCGCCATACCGCTCATAACGACTTGCTTCCGCGTGTGTGGGTTCTTTGGTGTGCTTTGGGTGTCCGAACCACGATGAGGCTTCGATGGATGAGCAGGCTTCAACTTCTTTAGTTGCTGTTCGGCTTCTCGGATTTTTCCCTCGAGAAATTCTTTCCGCTCAGTTGAGCCATTCCTCTCAACAGTCACATTGTGTAGCGTGGCTTGTCAGGTGATTATAAGGCCGGCTAGATGCTGAAGCTCGGCGGTTTGCCGAACAACCGCTGGCCTAGCTGAGATGGGTTGGTTTAGGACTGCAGGCTGGTCAACACGATGTAGCTCAGAGCTCGACGTTTGTTGTTTAGACCATCCTTCTTGTTCTTTTTTTTAGTGTATCGTAGTCCGCCTGGAGTACCGCCCTCTCGATTTGGAGCATTTGGATGTCGTTGCTGATTTGATCGTAACCTTCTTTGAAAGCCTTAGCCTCCTCATCCCGGTCCTGATACTTCTTTTCCATTTCCAGCTTCACTCGCTTGAGCAGTACCTGTTCTCGATCCCCCTGTAAGATCTTGGCCTTCAATAGCTCGTTTTCGTCGAGAAGTTTAGCATAGCGCAAGGCTTTCGCTTCCAGATCCTCAAGCCGATCAACAAGCCTGGCTCTCTCATCGCGCACCCGGCTTTCAACCAATTTCTGGACCTTGTTGTAGTAGCTTCTCTCAAGCTCGCGGTACCTGTCGCTCACAAGTCTCTCTTTGTCCGTGGCGTCCCTCTCGAAAGCTGCTAATCTAATCTCTAGATCTTCTGCTCTTCGCTCCGCGTCTTCAAGCGCGCGTGAAATCTTTGCATGATTTGCACTTAGTTTGTTGAAACAAATTATCTCTTGGTCCAGCTTCTCCCTCACCAGTTTCAACTCTTCGATGTCGGATGGCCTGTTCTTCCAAAATGCTTCCATCATAGACAGCAGCTGATCTGCGATTCTGTCTTGCAGATCATCAATTATCAGGTCCGACGCGTGATGGCATGTACACGGAGGCAGGTCGTCTGGTAAGAGATGTGCTTCCGCTTGAGACAAGGATTCATTGCCTTCAACGTTTTGCTCGAAGTATGATGGGCTAGTACATATGTGGGTCCATTGCTGGAGCCAGACAGCCGCTTTCTTTGTCGCTGCCTCATCGAGTGTGGCACGTATTGTGTTGAGTAGACTTTCCAGGCCGCTGAGCTCGATAGTGAAAATTCTCTCCGTCTTTTGTTCCAAATCCTCAAAGGCCGACATGCACTCTGCAAAAGATCTGCATGGCTGAGCCTCTTGCGATATGTCCATGTTTCCCGTTGCAACTCGCGAAGGGCCTACTGATAATCCGTGGCGTCGGTAAGCTCTTCACATTGAATGTTGAAGGTTACTGATACTCAAGACCGGGTGTTCTCATAGCGCGGCGAGACTTCAGAAGTGGTGAGGTGGGCGCCCTTGATGGTATGCTGGGTTGAAGGACGCGGTCGCCTAAGGTTACTGTTAGCGAAGATACCATACGAGTGATGTTGGGTGCCAGATCATCAGTCAAACTGTACAAGATGAAGATTTTAGTCTTCCGAGTATGCACGAGGAGAAACAATACCTGCAAACGGATAAGTGGGACCAAAGACGCGTATCACAGGTGAACCAACGTGCTTTACTCCATGAATATCTACGTCACTAGCACAAGTTTCCTCTCACCACGCTGCTTCTCGGATCGTTCGCTGCTGTCACTATTGGTGCTCACCACATGTTTCTCTCGGTCCTCAAAATCGAGGCAGTAACATGGTCGATCGTCTACGAGCCACAGCAGCAGCTTTTACGCCGCTAAGTACCCGTAGCGACATAATTCGCCCTCTGAATGGTCAGGAGCACAATGGGATTACTCATTACAATTCCATTCCTGCGTCCGCCGTCTTTCCAGTCAGCGACACACGGAGCAGCCCCAGCATCAAGGTAAAGTCCTGAATAATCGAACTTAAGCTTGAGCTGACAGAGAGTAAGACCAAAATCGACTGCCAGTTCTGCAAATCCGTAGGTCGCGCTCTCAATTGCTGTCGAGCTCGAACAGATTTACAGGCATGCCTAGACTGCGCGGAACTCAGCCAGCTCCTCATCCTTGAAAACAAGAAACACCAAGATGAAATAGCCGCTTTACGTGAGCAGCTGAGGCAGCTGGAAGAAGAAACAGCAGAAGAGAAGTTGACCAGGCTATGCGTCAAGAGCGAGACGAAGATTGTTAAACTGAAAAGCGAGGTAGAGAATATGAACGCAGAGGACGAGTTACTGAAGGCCGAAAATGAGGAATTAACGAAGACGTTGAAGAGACTCGAGGTTGAAATAAAAAAGGCACAGCCTGCTACAGAGTTCACAGTCCGGGAGGCGAAGAGGGGGAAGAGGATGTAGAGTAGTAACCAGTTCCTGACTCAGAGGTGAAACAAGCTGCTTCGTGAATGTTCCAAGAGTTGGTAATGGGTGAAAGGTCAGAACAGCGTGGCCTCTTGGGAGTTGCGGGTGGGAGATTCGCGATAGCTCAGGGACGGAGCTACGGGCTAGCGTGCGCACGGATAATTTCCCCAGCGACACGTTGCGAAAGCTACAGAAGCACAACCCCCTCTCCATCTTCCATCAACTGGCTGTTCGCAACCACCCTTTCCCACCTCTCTTTGTCTTCTTCTTGTCTCTGGGCCATAGATCGCAATCATGAGCGGCCGTAAGTCACGACCTCACCTTTCAATGGCCGCGCGAGGCGTGTGCGCGCAATGCCTGCGAGGAATTACGGCACAGAGCAGCACAGCTAATAGTTCCACGTAGTACGGTTCCTCGATCTCGTCAAGCCTTTTGTGCCTCTGGTGCCTGAAATTCAGCTGCCAGAGAGCAAGGTTCCTTTCAACAACCGCCTCGTATGGACCGGCCTTACTCTCCTCGTCTTCCTGGTCATGAGCCAGATGCCGCTCTACGGAATTGTGTCGTCTGATACCTCCGACCCGCTATACTGGCTGCGAATGATGATGGCGAGTAACAGAGGAACACTGATGGAACTGGGTATCACCCCCATCATCACCTCGGGCATGGTCTTCCAGCTTCTTGCCGGAACCCACCTCATCGACGTCAACCTCGACCTCAAGTCTGACCGCGAGCTCTACCAGACTGCCCAGAAGCTCCTCGCTATTCTCCTGTCTTTCGGTCAGGCCGTCGTCTATGTCATCTCCGGTCTCTACGGACAGCCCTCTGACCTCGGTGCCGGTATCTGCGTTCTCCTCGTTATCCAGCTGATGATCGCTGGTCTGATCGTTATCCTCCTCGACGAGCTCCTCCAGAAGGGCTACGGTCTCGGCAGCGGTATCTCGCTCTTCATTGCCACCAACATCTGCGAGTCCATCATGTGGAAGGCCTTCTCCCCCACCACCATCAACACCGGTCGTGGTCCTGAGTTCGAGGGTGCTCTCATTGCCCTTGTCCACTTGCTCTTCACCTGGCCCAACAAGACTGTTGCGCTCAAGGAGGCTTTCTACCGCCAGAACCTCCCCAACGTCATGAACCTGATTTCCACAGTCATTGTCTTCGGTGCTGTCATCTACCTCCAGGGTTTCCGCGTTGAGATTCCTGTCAAGTCCGCCCGCCAGCGTGGTGTTCGTGGCTCGTACCCCGTCCGTCTGTTCTACACCTCCAACATGCCCATCATGCTGCAGTCTGCTCTTTCCTCCAACGTCTTCTTGATCAGCCAGATGCTCTACAACCGCTTCTCTGACAACCTCCTCGTCAAGCTTCTCGGTGTCTGGGAGCCCAAGGAGGGTTCCGCCCAGCTTTTCGCTACCTCTGGTGTTGCCTACTACATGTATGTCGATTCCTGACTGTACCACAATTTCAGCCGCTAATTATTTCCAGGTCCCCCCCTCTCAGCATCACCGAGGCTCTCTCCGACCCCCTGAAGACTGCCATCTTCATCGTCTACATGCTCGTCGCCTGCGCTGTCTTCTCCAAGACCTGGATCGAGGTTTCTGGTTCATCCCCCCGCGACGTTGCCAAGCAGCTCAAGGAGCAGGGTCTGGTCATGGCTGGTCACCGTGAGGAGTCCATGTACAAGGAGCTTAAGCGCGTCATCCCCACCGCTGCCGCCTTCGGTGGTGCCTGCATTGGAGCTCTGTCTGTCGGTAGCGATCTTCTCGGCGCTCTCGGTAGCGGTACTGGTATTCTCCTTGCCGTAACTATCATTTACGGATACTTCGAAATCGCCGCCAAGGAGGGCGATATGGCCGGTCTTAAGGGCATGGTCATGGGCTAGATTAGTCCAATAGGGATCTCACTTTTATTGATTTGGATGGAGGATGGGTTGAGGCTGGTGCGCTTCGCCGCACATTGTAACATATGATCTACGAAACAAAAGTTCGCAAAGGTACTGGGCATCACTTGACGTACTGTAGCGTGGCGCCTGGCTAGGCTATCACAGATGCCAGTCCTTCTGTAATGCATCATTGTTAACCCTTAATGTGTTTCAGTATGACTACTATGTGCGAAAGATGCTCGATGTCTGGGCCCTGATAGGACTCACGGGTCCAGTGCGCAGTGGACGTTTGAGCTCTACTAATTCAGCTTCAGTCGCTTTCTCCCTGCTCGTAGCCTGCACTCGAGTATCGAAGTACACCCATAGCCACACCACAACCCGGTTCGAAAGCCCGCGTCCCTGGATGAACGATGAATCTGAGGCGTTGCATTGGCCAGTTTAGCGAATGCGAAATGTGGCGTTCTACGCTTACGATGCGAAAGTCTGGGCATAGCGGCCTAAAAACATCGTCATCTGTGAACTCTGGAGTATGTTCAACATGCATGATGTGGAAGATAAGCGAATGCGACAACAACTGCGGATGCGAAACTGGCGATGGCGCGATACATTCGCAGCTGCAGCTACTACATAAGACGGCTCTGCCGCTGCTTGAAGTGAAGCATCATCACCATCAAGGAATCTGACCTGCTTCTTACTATCCATCTTACTTCCTTTCAAGAGCTTCAATCGTCATACTCAGTTGTTTTACCCGTATTCAGACATGAGATCGAACATGGCAAGCCCACTCGGTATTCCACTCCCTCCTTCAGAATGGAAACGGCAAAACCCACCTAAAGGACCAAACTTTGATTGGGAGATGTACCGTTATGTTCCTTCTCTAGCTGGAGCCATCGTATGCCTCGTTGTCTTTCTCGTAATGGCTTTTCTGCACTTGTATCAGTACCTCAGGTCTAGGAATAGGATCATCATCTTCGTGGTTATCGGCGCGCTCTGTATGTCCTCTCTGTTGCTTCTAGTCTGCCAACTTATTACACATGTACACCGTCTGGAGCTGTACCTAACAGAATGTAACAGGCGAGGTGGGTGGCTATGGCGCGCGTATCGCATCGCACTTCGACAACGATGCCTGGCCCCAGTACATCACCCAAGGTGTACTGACACTCGTCGGTCCTCTATGGTTTGCTGCAACCATATACATGATGCTTGGCCGTACGATCAGACTTGCTGGTGGAGAAGATGTGAGTCTGATCCCAGCGAGGTGGTACACAAGGATCTTCGTCACCGCGGACGTCACGACCTTGATCATTCAGGGCCTAGGTACGTCGTCTCCGCATACAAAGTAGATTGAAGAAACTCGGACTAACAGGAAATAGGTGCCAGCATCATGGGTACGATGCAACTCGCCCTCGCCCTCGCTGGAGAAAAAATCGTAATTGCCGGTCTCGCACTCCAAGTCGCTACCTTTGTTGTCTTCCTCATCGCCTCATTCGATTTCCAAATCCGTATGAACAAGAAAGCCGATCATGCATCTGCAGACTGGAAGAAGATGCTTTACATACTTTATAGTGTCAGCGCATTGATTCTCTTCCGCTGTACATTCAGACTCATCGAGTATGCGATGGGTAACGCTGCTTACTTGATCGCTCACGAGTGGACGCTGTATTGCTTCGACGCTGTGCCAATGGTCCTAGTCCTGGTGATGCTGCTGGTTTTGCAGCCAAGTCGATATGTTGAAGGGAACCTGAGGATGGCACAAGCGGACAGCGATGGTGAGACGGCTGTCATAGAGAGAAAATGAGGGTTCTTCAGTGTGCTTGATCTGTAGTTTTAGCGTGCGTTGAGCGGCTGTCCTGTACTTCTTTATATATCCCAATCTCCAATATGATTTCCATGTTAATTCCTTCAATCAGCATGTGATATGGTTGTCGCCTGGGCGCAGATGTACTGTGAGCTGATAAAAACGAGCGTAACGCACGGCTGTGGTCGCGCATACCCTGTAACCTCACAAGACTGCATATGCGCCCCATATACTATCCAATGTTGCGTGACCAAAGGCATATCATATACGAAAGCCCACCTACCTTTGCCATGATGGTATGACTACCCAGACAGACCTTAGGCCCCCCACTAAGCGGCACTTAGCCACGCGCACGACCCAGGCACTATTGGACGCCTTACATCCCACCACCTTGTGCCTCCCCGGGATGCCAATCCATCCAAACCATACTAGCTCCGCGTAGACGTAGTTTAGATGGCGCGCCGAAGTACGGGTTTCGTGCCTAAGAAGCCGCATCGCAAGTCGAGAGGCGGATGCTTGACCTGCAAGAGAAAGAAAGTCAAGGTGTGTTTGATTTTCAGGCTTTCCATGTGTGGACAGAGAGTTAATGTAGTATAGTGCGATGAAGCACAACCTATCTGTCGTTACTGCAGTGTGAGAGACCTGAATTGCGAATACGCACAGGACTTCCAATCGACGTCGAGGACACCGTCTTCAGGACCATCGCCTGGTCACGAATTCCGATCATCAGCCTACAACAATGAGGCAGATTTCAATGATCTTTCCTTCCAATTGGCGCCGTGGCTCGTTCCAGCCTCTCCAACATCTATAGGCTCCTTTGCACACCTCGACCACCAGTTATTGCAATACTATAAAGCACGTGTCTGGCGCGAATTTGTAGTGCGCGACGACACCGTCTTGAACAACTTGCACGAGAATGTTGTCCCCCGACTAGGCATCTCTCATCCTTTCCTTCTCTACGCTATGCTCAGTATCGCCGCCAACCACAGCAACGAGCTTATGCCAAACAAGACCGTTGAGAAACAAGCACTACTATATCGCCAAAAGGCTTTCTCTTCTTACAAGGAAGCACTCAAAGACATCACCGCAGAGAATTACGAAGCAGTCCTCGTCACAGGAGGTCTTTTCCTCGCTCTAGTCCCACCACCGTCTACCAACAATGACGATGAGTACCTAGAATGGATGATAACACTACTGAAACTAAGCGAAGGACTTCGTATCCTTGCTTCACTCCGATGGGCACAAGGCATGGAGAAACTCTCCGTTTACCCCTTGGTGCGACGAGAACTACGCACTTTGCCACCACCACCTATCGTTGATGTCGCAGGTGTAGATGCTCCTATCGGGCCCCTAGGAACAACACCTAACAATCCCAATCCAGCACCAACGTACCCACCGACACAGTTCCCCACACAGACCCGCCTGTTCCTACCTCCACCTTTGATGCAGCTCCTCGGCAGCATTGTCCGTGGCAAAGAATCTGGATCAGTTGACTGGCATAGACCAACGCTACTTCCAGTGTTCCACGCTCTATCCCCCATATTCCTGTCCTTGTACTACTACCACCTGAACCCTGATCTCTACGTCCGCATCTTTTGTTTCACGTCGTTCCTCATGCCGGAGTTTCTCCAGCTGGTGCGCCAAAGAGAACCTCGTGCTTTGGTGCTGGTGGCATGGTTCTTTACCCTGGCCGAGTTTGTGCCCAAGGGCTTCTGGGTTGGGGGTAGAGGGCGAAAGATTATTAAGATTCTTGGACGGGAGATTAGAGCACGGTCGTCTAGGGATGATGGATTTGTGGAAGGGGTTTTTGAGGGTGCGCAGAGGATTGTCGATGTGTTGATGAGGGAAGGGGATGAGGCGGCAGCGAAGAGTGTGTTTGAGGATTGGCCTGGCGTCAGTTGGGAGGACCGACCTGGTAGAGATGAGGAATGGGAGTCTGGACTTTTGAGGACTTGGGTGATTTGAATGTTCCTTGGGTTCTAATGCTGCGGGTCTTGATGTACAGGAACTAAGCATATCAGTCTGGACATGGTATTTCAGAACTATCACGCACCAGTTCACTGCAACGTTCTCATTGCCCTATCTCTGGTGTAGTACCCGCTGTTTCTGCAGCGGCACTCTTGTTTCCTCCCCCTAGTGTTTCCTGGCTCTGCCCGCCTCTTGGCTGCCTCAACATGCAATACAGCTTGATAGCGTCCTTCTCTCCATCTCCATCCCTACACTCCATCTCCCTCGCCAGCCGAAATCCAAACTTCTCATAAATGGCAATATTTGGCTCGCTCCTGCTACTCTCCAGATAGCAACTTCTCCCCTCTTTATCAGCCATACTCAGAACCTCTTCCATTAAGGCTCTCCCTACGCCCTGACCCTGACACTCTGGCAACACAGTAACGATGTTGCAGAAGTAGTACCCTTTTGGATCCTTCCACAACTCAGACTGCGCTTCCGCCTGCCGCGCTTTCCATATCCAGTATCGCGTGGTACTGAGGCCGCCGCGTCCGTACCACAAATTCATGCGTATTTGGTTGGCCCAGAGATACCAGTAGGAAAGGTATAGTGACCAGGACTCGGGTTCTGAAGTTGGCCGGGGTGGAAGCCACATTGCGCAGCCTAGGATCTTAGAGGGATTTGCGGTATCGCGTGCGACGTGGAAGAGGCCATGCTCGATACCCCAGCGGCATCGTAGCGTGAGAGAAACGCGGTTACGCGCTAGGGAGACCTGAAATATAGCTGTTAGTAAGATGCATGAAGACGGGCGTTGAGGGAGTTACCTTTTCGCGGTCTGGAAATACCCAATTGTTGTAGGGATCATTTGCGAAGGCTTGTTGTATGGTATCGATTGCGCCGTCTATATCGGCCTCTTTCATGCGCGTTACTTGGATAGGCATCGTGCTGAGGTGTTTGGCAAGACCCAATCCGTTCCTGTATCACGGTACTAGCAGAAACGAAGTGACATGTGCCAGTTTAAAAACTAGCAAGCGTTGAAAACCAGCCATGATGGGTGCGGGGAGGGTTGCGATAGCTTGTCGCATCCAAGATGTGGATAGACGATACGATTGGGAAGGTCTAAGCGACAGTCACGTGTAATGAGGGTCTTGTCTTATCTGAGCAGGTGCATACTAACCCTCCTCACCAATCCTACCGTCAGCTGTCTTGGCATTGTTACACGGCCTTAGCCTGTTACGATGCCGGCTTTCAGTGATCAATGCCCAGCCTCGATGCCTTGGACCAGTATAGTAACGCGTCCTAACCAGCATGGAGACCTCCAAACATAGACTGAGACGGGCCGCTCGACTTTCTGGCCCACCACTTGGCTTAAGACGGTCCAAAACCGATTGTACCAACGACCAAGCTCAGCCGCGCCCTGACTATCAGGCTGAAGGCGGGGCAGCGCCAGGCCTACCTCACCTCCAGCCGACGACACCTGCTCCAGTATGGAGTTCAGGCGAAACCCCCCATCGTTCTCTATCGCCAAACAGTGCCAACAACCCAAACGAGTGGGTCGAGTTTAGTGAAGAATTCCGGGATGGGCTGGATATCAAATCGCGTGGCAGAACTGACAAGCACCACCGAGACAGAACACGAGTGTTCTACGAACCTGAGCAAAGAGAGACCCTGCTTCCACGCTCACTAAGAGACACCCACCATATATTAGAATTCCTAAGATCATAAGATGATCATCAGGACGTATTGCTTATGCGGTGGGCACAGGCTTCCTTGCCAGATCGCATGCTCGACATTTTGTTCAACCACTGCGAGTTTGAGGGCGACGAAGACGTGTTCGAGGTGAACCGTCACCTTGGTGATGGAATGGTCGGCGTTGTCGAAGAAGTGACAATACGATCCTGTGAACCGCCCATAGTGTGTGCAAGAAAAAAGATCGCAAGGCCAAAACCGCTCAAGCTGCACCAAAGTATCATGACTGCTTTCATTCGAGAGATTAGAGTCATGCGTCAAGTCGACCATCGCCATTGCGTTCGCTTTCTTGGGAGCTATACCGACAGCGAGTCGGTCAACATTTTATCGACGCCTGTGGCTGATATGGATATGGCTGCCTTTTTGGACAAGCCTATTGGTGACCGGGAATAGAACATCCTCTATAAGAGGATTGATTGCCTTTGTGATAGGTTGTAAGTAGATGCTTGCCTACCCTTCTATGAAATCGAGCCTCGATCGAGCCGTTTCGTGACTAGCAGTGCTGGTAGGAAGTCCACAATTGGGTTGAGCCTGTCGCTTACAGGATGATCTGACAGTGACGCAAGCTATGAGGATGTCGCCTTTGGGTTTCGCGCAAAACTGGACTGCCAATTACTAGTCCTCCTCCAATGATCCTTGACTTCAGACAGACTGTGCCCGTAAAGTCCTGAGACCATCTCGACCAGAACACACCCAAGAGAGAAGATGTCATTAGCTCGGTTCCGGGGCTCAAACTCCAAGACTCCTAGCGCTGAGTATCACCCAGTCTACGCTGACGGCCGCCCGGTAGTCGTTGAAGCTGAGTCATCGGAGAAGTCTAGGCTGTGTATTATTAACGTTGGCATGTCGACGCCGAAGCAGGAATTTACCTGAACCCGAAGTCGGTGAGTAATATGTCATTGCAATGTATGAGAACATTCTGAGGCTTGAGATCCTCGTGCCTGGAGAGGTCAGCCTTCTCCATTCGAGGAGCAATATAGTATATGGAGTCTTATTGGTCATAGTGGTAGATACGTCACAGTACACGTACCGTATTTTCTTTCAGTGTAGGTATAGCCTAAAAGAAACAGTCAGTAAGCATAATGTTTCTCGTGTACAAGAAGGCAGCCGGTATGTTGTGACTTCACTACCCTTACTCGACCATCAGCACAAGTTGTGGTTGATAGATTGAGAGACCTAAGCCGTGTTCTGCCCGAACCCTCTCATCTTGTCAATACTTGTTGTGGGCTGCATCGAATTTAATAGATAGGCTTCACTCCGAGAGCATCGAAGAAAGCGGTTGCGCAAAACGCGTGATACACAGTGCGGACAAGATCTCAGGAGCTATCTTGATGCTGTACCCGACCAGGAAGTGACTTTATATTGTACTGCAAAACAAAACCCATTACTCTTGCATCCAAGATGACTCTGGCCTGACTGAGCTCCATCCATACACTATCAATATTTTTTGTAGTCAAGGACGCATGCGCGATGCCCTCCCTGAGATTCAAGATGAGGCCAATGCTAAATCATTCACAAAACCCAACTGTTTTACCTAATACTTGATCACTGCGTGCTGCCGAAAATGGGTTGAGCATATACCTCTCAGCATGTCATGTTCACTGCACTACGAGCAAAGTTTGTATACCCCGGTCCAAGTCGTTCAACGCTTCAAAGTCTCTCTGCCGATTTACGGTGGGCGACTAAAGGATCTATCCATCTATGGTCGGTCACGGTCGTTGTCCCAACTAATGACGCTATTCTAGTTCGGTACTTCACGTGCTTGCACTGCGACTAGTGCACGGAAGATGCAAACCTTCGGAACTTGACACGGGTTTTGTAGACATGAGTGCAGTGCAGGCTAGTAAGAGAATCAAGCGGACCATATTTAAGTGACATCAGGACGTCTGGAGGTACTGCTCAGCTCGAGATCCTTCACGCCGATTCGTCCCTTATTGGTCATGGTGTTACCAGGGAAAAAAGAACCGCATATGAAAAAGCGAAAAGGTTCAAGGTTCGTGGTTTGGGGCACTTATCGTGAAAGGAAAACAGGTGACATGGGCGTAGCGATACCATAGTATGAGCCAAGTCGAAAGCTTCAACCATAGTGTTTACGCTATACGGCTCATAAGCCCAACTATATTGCACATATGATGTATAGGCTTTTTCGTATCCCATATATCTGGTTGCATAAAGGCGTACTTATCTTTTTCTCAAGGCAACAGCAAGCATAGCGAGTTATTCCGCCAAGGTGTGCCGTATTTTCTTTTCGACCAAGACTTCCCGCTTCCGCGACAACGCTCACACATGTGCACACCCACACATAGATAGTGATGGTTCTATACATCCCAACTTACTCACCGCTCAAAGTTGAACCTTACACTTACACTTACACTGTGCTTATGTCAACATGTTCGCGCAAGAACAAGCCCCGCACTACTCCATCTACCCCAACGTCTTCGTCATCGATCGGCAGTCCTGCATAGGCAGCCTACCGAACTCCGTCTGATGACACCCTCCCGTGGCGTAGCGAACAAGCGCAAGCGGCTCCGGATGTTGAATGCGAAATGCTTGGGTGGGGACATGTTTTTCGCCGGACCGTTGTTGGATGGATGCGTGTGTGACATGTGTGGCGAGGCGCTGCTTTTGCGATTGGGGCTATGCTATGCCATGCTTGACGGTGGCGATATAATGCGTAAATCGGCCCGCAATGTACACAAAGGTGTATACACCTGATCGGTCGATAAAGACGATCGGTAGGGCTGCAATCAGTAAAAGTTTTGTTGAGTAACCTCAAATGTGTGGTGGAGTTTGAAGCGAATTACGAGCAAGAGAAAATATATGATGTCAACGTAGAGCATTTGCTCATCAGCGATGATCGTGCCTGCGATCAACATGTTGACGATCTCCCTTAGGCATCGTCCCGAGGTCGTCTATCGCTTACTCTTGTATAGCACCGTCTGATATCAGCTGATTGTTGGGCTGTATGATTCTATGTATCCGGCACTCTCCATGGGCAGCAGCTCCTCCAAGGCTAGACTATGCAACGACTGGATTTTGTAACGAAAGAACATGGATATAGGTAGGAAGACGGAACGCGACGTGTTGGGTACTTTGTGAGCTCCCAGCTTCCACTTGAAGGCACGATTGTCAGTGTTGCATCCGTGTAGCGATGATCCGGAGCTTCTTGATCCCGAACGGTAACCTAGCTCCCTCATGTAGGCGGCACAGTAGAGCAAACGGTACATGATGCCCCGGAGTATTTTGGGTGGCATAATTAGGGCGCCTGTTGCAAGATGCATCAATGCTGCATCTGCCGAAAGGACTAGCGATGTAGAAGCGCGCGGTGTAAAAAACAGTTAGGAGGCCGGAAATCCGTACACGACGTAAGCAACTGATGTAGCACTTCGGCAGCTAGATCTTGAGTTGTTCATGGGTCATCGTGGTACTTGTTGATCAACGGAGAAAATGTATCCTTCGCGTAAATGGTCCAAACCACCAGTATGACTGTGTGCAGCACCTGCATGTCCCCATTAAATTTGACCGTATGATGGGTGGGTAACTATGAGGGCAAATAGTGCCACTTGGTGTGCATACATGCGACCCGCCTGCGGCTGACAACTCAGTGTTGGGCAGTTAGGCAGCCAGTATTGGAGAGCGAGAACGATCGGAAAAAACGGAAGCAAAGAAAAGTTGATGAAACACAGTCCGGAAGTTAAGCCACCTGGTTTTGTCGTGCAGGCTGTCCTTGGGCAGTCTGTTTGGAGCAGTTCCAGGACATCCTAGACTGTGGATTGCTGTTAATGCTGGTCGAGGAGGGGTAGTGTTGCGGGCGCTGATGAAGCGCCTACTAGCCGCATCGCCGTGAGAATATCGGTATGTCAAAGAAGGAGCAAGCCGGGCTGGCATGGTCATCAGACAGGTGGGAATGCGGCAAGTCGGGCAATAAGCGACTTGCGTATACTTTACGCAGCGATCAGATCTTTGTCGTGGGCGCCCAAAAATAGGCGTTCAATTTACTGAGGGCCCGCAAATCAGGACCATGCAAGTGTGACCGCTTCTGCGCATAATCGCAGGCGAATAAAGAAGGTACTTCGGGTCGTCGCTCAGTGGTGGAAGCGGCCTTTTGAGATCGCCGCGTAAGCACAATTTAGCCTAGAGCATGTCCAGAGTGAAAAGATAGGCGATTCGCCGATCTGGTGAGGTGGAAAAA